CTCTCTCTCTCTCTCTCTCTCTCTCTCTCTCTCTCTCTCTCTCTCTCTCTCTCTCTTTCTCCATACCTTCAGTTGGCATAGAAGGTTATGTGTTGCCTAGTGCAGAACATTTCATGTCCACCACTCCCCCTCCCTCACACACACATTAAATATATGTGTACTTTTAAAAACACATTTGCCGTCACCCCCCCCCCCCCCCCCTTTTCTCCTCTCACATTGATGACACCTAGGGGAGGGGGTGCACCCCTTCCTGCTACCTTCTTCCCTCAATATCTCATCTTATTTCTTAATCCCTTCTTTCTCTCCCTGTCTCAGTCTTCTTCTTCTTCTTCACTTCCTCTTTTACCGCTGTGGGTGTCGAGGGAGATATAAGGTTCTGTTTCTAGCTCTTCTGACTGCCTCGACCATTGGCACATCGTGCTGTTGTAGAGTTTCTCTGATGTTATCCTTCCATCTTGTTCTTGGTCTACCCCGTGCTCTACGTCCTTCTTCTCTTTCCATGTATGCTTTGTATGGTGTCACAAGGCATTCTCTCTAAGTGGGCAAACCATTTCACTTGCTGTCTTTGTATGTAATCCAGAATTAGTTCTGTGCCGACTTGTTCTCTTACGATCTCATTCCTGATCTTATCTCTTATGGTCACTCCTACAGCCCTTCTCAGACATCTCATTTCCGTGACCATGGTCAGATACCGTTTGATCAGTCCGTTTATATCTCATTTTGATTTCTGCAGCGGTAATACATCCATTGCCGGTTTGCTAGGCCTGTCGCAACTTCACCAGAGCCCAGTTGGCCAGGACGTTTCGGGGTGACCCAGGGTGGCCTTCATGGCTACCGTAGCGGTCCCGTGGCACGAGGCCACACCATACTTCGCCCACCTAGCAATCCCCTACTTTGTCCTGTTACCACCTCTCACGACGAGGACGTGGGGTTGGCCTTTGAGAGGCTGTCTCAGTGCCCACTTTATTTTCTTAAACGTTATTCTCTCACCTTTCTCACCTCCTCTGTCTCACCCATACCATCTCAGCCTTCTACACCACCTTCCATCACCTCCTCTCCCCCCTCCTTTCTGTAATTGGAAAACCAGAAATAAAACAAGTCCACTGATGCCCTGACCTATTTGTTTGTGTGTGGGTAACCTGCTCTATTTTCCACTGGTGGTGGGTTGGGATCCCCTGGACTTTTTTCTTCATAAAATAACCTTGGCTCTCAGGTCACCAGCCTTAAGTGTAAGAAATTGAACTATTGTTGTCACAGCAGATAGGACAAGCACGTGGCAGTAGGGGTTAGCACTGTTGTTTATGGACCACGGCAACATTCTCACTGGGAGAGGGTAGGAACCGGAAAAGTGGCCTCAGAGATTTCCTAATTATTTCTATTTTTGGCGCTCAGTGTTCTTATCGCCACCCCCCACCCCCCACAACCGTGTCTTACCTCTCTTCTCTCACCCCTTCTCTTTCCTTTGATCTTCAACTATTCTCCTTTCTCTCTCCATTCTTCCTCTCTTTCTTTCCTTGCTTTGTTCTCTCTGGCTCTTTCTCCTGTCTCATCTCTTCTTTGTCTCCTCTCCATCCTGTCTTTTCATTTTCTCTAGATTTCCTTACCCTCTCTCCTTTCTCATTCTCTTCCCCTCCCCCCCCCCCCCCCCTATTTTCCCCTGTGGTTCATCTAAGTACGTTTTTTGCCCCATAACTATCTTTTCCTAGTGATTGTGTCCACTACACTTGAAATTGTGTGTGTGTGTGGGGTGGGGGGGGGGGGGTGTTTCAGCAGGAGGTTGTTTTTGTTGTTGCTGTATCTTGTCTCCCTTCCTGCTCCTCTCTCTTAATCTGTGTTTGTCACTGCCTTCCTTACCCACCCTCTCTCTCTCTCTCTCTCTCTCTCTCTCTCTCTCGCTCTCTCTTTCTCTCTCTCTTGCTTTATGTCTATTTGCCTCCCTTCATCACTTCCTCTTTGTATACCTCCCTCCCATTTTCCTGCTCTGCCTTTTTTCTCTTTCTTTGGTTCTCTCCCTCTGTCTGCTTGCCTCTCTATGCTGTCCCTCTGTCTCTCTCTCCTTTATGTCTACAATTATCTATGCTTGCATCTGCTTCTCTCCCTGTCCGTTCTCTCTCCCTCTGTCTCCCTTCCTTCAACTATCTTTGTCATATTTTCCTCCTTCCAAATCTCTGTTTCGTTCCCTTCTTTCTTCTGTCTTCATCTGCCCATCTCTGTATCTGCATTCCCTCTTTCTGTATTTGTCTCCCTCTCTGTCTTTTGCTGTCCCTTCCCCACTTTCCCTCATCATGTCTCCATCCCTCCCTCTCGTTTTTTCCTCCTTCCCCAGACTTCTTTTCCTTCTTTCCTCTACCTTCATCTGTCCATCTTTACACTGTCTCTCCCAGCCTTCTTCAGCATGTGTCTTCCTCCCTCTCTGCATGACTCTCTCTCTCTCTCCCCCTTACCCTTTCAAGTACCAGGTCCAGAACAGACAGTGCCCTTTACCAAGTCCTAAAAAAAATTTTCAAACACTAAATCAAGCGCAGGGGCCGACCAACAGGAAGATGGGCACAGGATATAAGTGACTCCTTGTGTATAAAAAAGTACATGAGGCGGGAGAGCTGGTGAAAGGCCGATTTTTATTTCAGAATAAAGGAAATGCTACATGATGATGATGATATATGTGCTGGTATACCAACACATGTGGCACGAATGAAGTACATTATGTGCTCGGTACACCCTTGAACAAGGCAAAAATCTTGTTTAAGTATTACACCGAGACAACCTTGAAAAAACTAAAGAGACCTTGAAAAGGACCTTGAAAAGCCTTGAAATTGATTGGTAAATTTGGCTATGAACCCTGTCTTATGCGCCCGCATGTTTAGACGGATCACAGTCTGTTATATTTACTGAAAAGAGCATGGGGAAAAGGGGGGGGGGGTCCTTGTGAAAAAATGGCTTTCTAAAATATAAATTGTGACATAGTTTCCCCATTACCATACCTGTTACCGGGTGACTGAGTTAATCGGTCAGGTATGTCACAGCTTAAATTTGTTTTAATGGTCAAATATAGGTAAGACAGTTCATTCTCTGCTGCGTTCATATTTACTGATAACTCCTCTTAATGTGTATGTGGAAATGAATATTGTTTTGGTCCATAAGTGACCATACTACCATTTTTGTGTGACCTGTGTAAAATGGAGGTTTAAATAAAATGCAGTAACAAACAACTCATGCATTTCTTGGCCTTCCAAAGATAATATCATATTCCTTCTTTCTATTATCACAGACCTACATTATGTAATCCTCTTGTACCTGAATTATTAGTTTGACTTTGCCTATCCCAAAATGTCTCTGTTTAACTTCAGCAGGTCTAAAAATTTAAGGCCTAAAGCAAAAGCAAAGATCCCTTTTCAGGCCTTTAGGCACATCAGGCATAAAGGAGAGCGCTCATATTCTTACAGACCAATCGGCACATAGTTGGGTGGTCAGCGTTACGCCGGCCATCTTTGCTTCCCCAGGACATACATCCTGGTACCCATTTTAGGTTGGGTCGACCTGCGAGGCCTCATTTGATGATAAAAATACACGTAGAATTAAGGCCTAAAGCTCATTCAAAATGGTTTACAGTCACAACTGCTTATGACTGAAAGAGTTGCACAATTTATACAAGAATTTCCACAATATAGGCCATTGGCATTTTTTTAGGGTCACCAGGGTGAAGGGGTTAAAAGAATATTAAAACTGGATGATGGTGAGTTTTTGTATAGTATATAATATTTGTGTTTCAGGGAGTGCTAAAAGAAACATTGAAACGAGCACCTGAATGTTTTCGGGAGAAGGATGTGTCATTACCACAATTAAAGGCTAGTTCGGATCACAAAGTTTTCTTTAAGGTTCCGGTATGTATGTTGATCAGGGTAAAGTTAAAAACATTGGGGTCTCTGGAAGTTATCTTTAGAGGTTTTGTTCAATAATTAGTTCAATCTTTTGTGAATCACTGATTTGCTCATACAAAAAATGTGTTACTTTATTAACAAACATTTTTTTATGGTTCCTTGTTTCTTATAGTTTCCACCAACTCACCGTCCACTATCTTTCTCTTCTTGGCTAATATAATATAGGGTCCCAACACTTACCTTTTCCCCCACTCTTTCCTCTGCAGTAAAAAGAAGGTGGAGAGGCATTGCTTTAGGCCAGTGTTTCTCAAATTTTTCTTAGTCGTGGCGCCTTTTTTTTCAATTAAAATGTTTCTACAGCGCCCTAACCCAAGTAAAAGGATGAATATTCCTAACCCTAGCCCTAACCCAAGTAAAAGGATGAATATTCGTATGTAAGAGATTTTTAAAAAAAAATGTAAACTAGTGTTTCTTCATATATTTTGCAGCGCGGCTGTGAAGAGATCATGGCTCCGTGGGGTGCCGCGGTGCACAGTTTAGGAATTACTGCTTTATGCTAATCCTTTGTTGCTTTGTGTTGAGTTAACCCAGTTCTTGGACCATAAAATAAAGGACCCTTTTTATTTCAGTGGTGTATTGTTTATGTCAGTGCTGTATTGTTTACGTCAGTGCTGTATTGTTTATGTCAGTGCTGTATTGTTTATGTCAGTGCTGTATTGTTTATGTCAGTGCTGCATTGTTTATGTCAGTGCTGCATTGTTTATGTCAGTGCTGCATTGTTTATGTCAGTGCTGTATTGTTTATGTCAGTGCTGCATTGTTTATGTCGGTGCTGCATTGTTTATGTCGGTGCTGTATTGTTTATGTCGGTGCTGTATTGTTTATGTCGGTGCTGTATTGTTTATGTCAGTGCTGTATTGTTTATGTCGGTGCTGCATTGTTTATGTCGGTGCTGCATTGTTTATGTCGGTGCTGAATTGTTTATGTCGGTGCTGCATTATTTGTGTCGGTGCTGCATTGTTTATGTCAGTGCTGCATTGTTTATGTCGGTGCTGCATTGTTTTTGTCAGTGCTGCATTGTGCAGAGGATGCTAGACTCATGTTTATATAAACCTGTCCGCACTTAATGGGGGATGTCAGTATTATGCAGGCCAGCTTTACTACCCAGGACTTTTCCTGGTACCTATTATAGGCTGGGTCCACCTGGTAGCCAAGGTCATTAAAAAAAACCTGACTGATCGCGGATTCAGACCTAAAACCTTTTGGCTGGCATGTAGGCTTCTAGCCGCTACACCCTTGTAGCTACCCGTTCATGGAGAATAAGACAGGCCTATATTTTATAGACCAATCAGCATTCAGTGGTTGATGTTGTCGGCATCGCACCGGCCACCTTTACTTCCCAGGGCTTTACCCGGTACCAGTATTAGGCTGGGTAGACATGGGTGCCAAGGTCATCTTTTATTTAAAAAATCTGGCTCCGTGCGGATTTGAACCTACAGCCTTCCAAGTTAAACGAATTCATAACCTCTAGGCCAGGGCTACTCAACTGGCGACATGCGGGCCAAATCAGGCCCGCCAAGACCTAGCAAGCGGCCCGCAGATCACTGCCAGTTGTATTGCATTTATGGTCTTTCTATGCTAGGGCTGGTTTCTCTGGCCGTGACGATCCCCATTTTTGAACATTTTGGCCCCTGAGTCAACTTAGTTGCATAGCCCTGCGCTAGGCTACAGGGCCACACATTTTGTGGTTTAAATACTGTTTGAAAATAAATTGACTAGTGTCAGTCACTAGCAGTTTGTTTATTAATGCATGTTTCTTCATATTCTTACCATGCTCAAGTCTGAAGGATGGAATGATGAGATCCCTACGCCTTATGCTGGCACAGCCAAAGATAGCTGGGATGATGCCCATGTGTACATGCCTTATCATGAGAACAACAGAATGCCTGAGGTAAAATCATTATCATCGTCATCATTACTGGTCAAGTAGCATTAGCACTCATGTCTCTGCATTTAAACACTTGTTCCATTCAAAAACTCAGGTACAAGACCCGGGATGTGCCTTCTGGCATAGGAGATATAGTGCTAGCCCTCTATGTTATGTCTATAGACTAATCCATGCTTGATCATGCCGGGCGCTTTTGCTTCCCAGGACATTACCAGGTACCTTTTGTTAAAGCTGGGTTGAACTTTGAGCCAAAGTCTGGTTGGACAAAAACATATGTCCCGATGCAGATTTGAACCATAGACTTCCACCGGCAGTTTAGACCTGTGAATTCTTTATTAATCTTTTAAAGGACCGCCAGCACGGTTTGTATGAGATTACATCAACAGTGTGCCCCAGTATAATGCTCCAGAGAAGATACAGCAATTTCTTCTTATAGTTCACACTGTGTGGCATTGATAGTTATTTCTGTGCAGCACAGCTTGCTGTGTATACTTTCAGTCATCTTTTACTCAAATATCTTTCATGCTATGATGTCAGTGTTAGATGCCTTCTTTGAGGGGAATGTATCCTATCAAAAGTCCAGGGTGTATGACTTGCTCCAGTTACACACAAGAGCTCCTTCAGATGACAAAAAAAACTATTTGGCTCCTACAAGATAGCAATGAGGAGCAACTGAACCCACAAGGCATGACAGAAGCCTCACACTTGTAACATTGTTAAATATCTAATAGAAATTACAAAGTTCTCTTGTTAGGTTTAAGATTTAGAATGAGAGGATTGACTTCCTGGCCCCGGTTTTTTTTCCTTTATGGCTCAGTCCCTCTCCTCAGAATGGCTAGCCGCCTGCTGAGAGTGCTACACAGAGCATGAACTCCGTAGCTCCGGTGATGACTCCCAGGCAGGAGTCTTGCATGGGGATTGTAAAACTGGCACAGAGCCTGTTGGCACCTGGGTGAGGTACAGAGTGGCTTCTTATACACAGCACAGTGGCCTTAGCTGTTCCTCATACCTCTCTCCGATATCACCAAGCCAGTAACAGAATGTGAGAGAATAATCAGTGAGTGTGAGACAGTGAGTGTAAGACAGTGAGTGTGAGACAGTGAGTGTGAGACAGTGAGTGTGAGACAGTGTGTGTGAGACAGTGTGTGTGAGACAGTGAGTGTGAGACGGTGTGTGTGAGACAGTGTGTGTGAGACAGTGTGTGTGAGACAGTGAGTGTGAGACAGTGAGTGTGAGACAGTGAGTGTGAGACAGTGTGTGTGAGACAGTGTGGGTGAGACAGTGTGTATGAGGCAGTGAGTGTGAGACAGTGTGTGTGAGACAGTGTGTATGAGGCAGTGAGTGTGAGACAGTACGCTGTTAACAAATACCGAGAAAAAAAAAAAAAAAGAAAAAAAAATTTGTCTTTGCTCAATAAATCTTGTTATATGTTTTCAGAATGGCCATACTTGTTCAAGGCAGGAAAGAATTGTGCAGGCATTAACAAGACCAATTCCAAGCTCATTTGAATTACAGGTGTTGTTTTAACAGATATGGATACTGTTGTGATTTGTGAAGATATTTCTTCGAGCCATAGATGTTATGAAAATTCTCATAAACCCATAAGGGAGAGAAAGACAACTGAGGCATATCTGCAAGGGACGGGAAATGTTTTTTTTTTCTTGCTGGAGGAAAGGGGGAGGGGGGGACGGGGTATAAATGTATAAAGGAAAGGCTCAAACTGAGCAATAAATAATCAACAGCTTTCTTCCTCCCTTTTTGCATTCACCAGCTGTAAACTCTGGTGGAAAGACCTGGTTGTTCGCCCACTTCTGGACTTTGGTCTTGTTCTAGGACTTGAAAGCTGCATGCACATCTGTTTTACAGATCTGCTTATTTGTGTGCAGGCTGTTGGTTCCTTGCCTCTCAAGCAGATGCACGCCAGTTTAGAAGTTGGAAGGAAACATCACACTCATCTACATTGGCCAGGCTGCCAGTTGGGAACCTGTTTCTAAGATGACAGCAGAGACGTGTGGATAGATTTTGACTAGTATGACCCTGGATCTGGTCACCATAGCTTGTTGTTCATTGCCTCTGCATCCCAGTCAACACTAGTGTCAGCAAGCTCAGATGTCAGGTGAGAGCGCGTGGAGAGGGGGGAGGTACAAATGGATCATTACGGTCTGAGGAGAATGGCACTGCGGGAAGTTACCAGAGGATCAGGCCGATGCTCAGCACTCAAGGGAAAGGCGAGACAGATGTACAGACAGTTACTGGTACCATTGGAACTGGAACTCTTCACTTGCTGCTAAAAATCTGGTAATCCTAGTTTCAGCTTCATAGCAAACGGGTCACTCCACAGTTGCTCCGCTCCTGTGCCAACGAAAAACAAACGCAGCTCACAGTGTCACGCCATGCACTCAACTCAGAAGCTGGGCAACGAAACTACATCCTTCCAGTCTACAAATGGAGCAAAAATGCAACGGCCACCGTCTGGCAGAAAAAACAAACATTTGCCACGGCTTAAAAAAAAGGTGGCCGTGCTTAGCGTCCATTTTGACTGGAAGCATTATATGAGGGTTAATAAACAGTTACCTCAGCGGTGCCCTCATTATTAGCTGGGAAAGGGACTTAGGACATTACATCCACCAGCAGGCGTCGCCCCTACAACGACCTGCCTGCCATCGTTAACGACTGTTCACCCAACAGCCATGCAGTTCTTTGGCACGAAGGAGACACCTTGAACTTGGGTTTCGGACTGCCAACTCCCTACAAGATGTTTTGATGTCACTGCACATTGGGCATACCCATGCGTGCTCAGTTCTCCAAAGCAGCAGCCACTACAAAGTGCTTCTACTAATTGTCCCCATAAGAAGCTGGTTATATTGTCTCCTTTCTCGGCCTCGAAGACGACAAAGACGTGCATCACCATGCTTAACTCCCATGTCACGCAATCGTTTTAGTGTCATGGATTCCTCATTCTCCATTAGCCCAGTTCGTTCAGCGTTGACTATATCTGCTCTGTCCATACTTTTTCCCGCAATCATTAGTGCAGTGCTTGCCAGTTGGTCCGCTCGCTCATTTCCCTTTACGCCTGCATGACCCTTGTGTAGATCCAGATTACGGAGGTTAAGTTCGATTTCCGAATGCTTTCTATTCATTCAGAGCTCATACTGCCTGTTGCTATCTTCTGAAGCATATTCATCGAGTCTGAGACAATTACTGCCTGTGTGGCGGTTTGCTCGGATACCCACGCTAAAGCTCTAGAAGCAGCGGCTATTTCCATTGTCATGCTTGACTTGGTTGTCTGGTAAGCGCCGCTGTCCTCATGTATTGTTTTTCCCCTTTCTTTGCGCTGTAATGCCCATGCTGACCTTGATCCATGCTTCACGGATCCATCTGTGTAGATGATGATATCTTCTGGGTCTGAATGCTGATCTATCAGTTCCCTTACTTCTGTGTCTACGGCCGCAGGAATTTGATCCCTGCAGTGCCTTCCGAGTGTGATGACAACCTTAGAGATGCCATGCATGTCTACTGGTATATTCGTCCATTCTTTTCCGTGACTGATCACGTCTAGGTCACATACCTGCTGGATTAAATCCTCAGCCTTTGCCATCCAAGAGCGGCCTCTTTTGAGATGCGTTCCTTTTGTGTCGTGTATAGCTGTGTGTAATAGGTAGGTAACGTCTGCCGATACCTCATGTAAGCTGCTAAAGAGGGGGATGGAGCGCTTATGGTTGTTTCTCAAATGATATGATGTGATTCTTAATTCAGCATTCAACATTAAAATGATAGAGAATGTTAAAGGCTTACGTTTGAGTATTGAGCTAAGAACTAACAGCACAGCTCTCAGGGACATTCATCTTCAGCAACCAATTCTGATGGTGCTTGTAGCAGTTTGATCATATGTCTGCCTTGCCTTTCCTGTGAGTGTAGAGTGGAGACCAGATCCTGTGAGTGTAGAGTGGAGGCCAGATCCTGTGAGTGTAGAGTGGAGACCAGATCCTGTGAGTGTAGAGTGGAGGCCAGATCCTGTGAGTGTAGAGTGGAGACCAGATCCTGTGAGTGTAGAGTGGAGACCAGATCCTGTGAGTGTAGAGTGGAGACCAGATCCTGTGAGTGTAGAGTGGAGACCAGATCCTGTGAGTGTAGAGTGGAGACCAGATCCTGTGAGTGTAGAGTGAAGGCCAGATCCTGTGAGTGTAGAGTGGAGGCCAGATCCTGTGAGTGTAGAGTGGAGGCCAGATCCTGTGGTCACTCCCAGCTGCACCATTCTCTCCTGACCACAATGGTCAGTTCATGCCACCCAGTTCACTTGCTCCCAGAGGGCCATGAACACATTTAGCTTATCATGCATAAATTTGCCACCCACTGGTGCAGAACCAAACAATCTTCTGCCTGGTCATTTCCCAACACTTCTGATACTATTGCCGTTATCTACTTTCATCCATTTACCTGAGGACAGAAAAACATCTTTATTGGTCTTCCGCTTTGATTTGTGTGTGCACAGTTTTTGTTAGTAGCTGGTAAACTCTTATGAACAAATTGTTAAAAGTTGTTTGACAGTGCGTGTGCAATCATTAAGAAAAAAATACTCCCAGTGTGTGTTCCATAACCCTTTCCAAAAGAAATATTGATTGTGGACCTCTTCTAATAGACCACGTTCTTCTAATGGACCATGCTTTTTTTTCCACTAGATCTTTGACTTTCTTCTACTGAATCACATTCCTCTGCTGAACCTGAATCACATTCCTCTGCTGAACCTGAATCACATTCCCCTGCTGAACCTGAATCACATTCTTCTGCTGAACCTGAATCACATTCCTCTGCTGAACCTGAATCACATTCCTCTGCTGAACCTGAATCACATTCCTCTGCTGAACCTGAATCACATTCCTCTGCTGAACCTGAATCACATTCCCCTGCTGAACCTGAATCACATTCCTCTGCTGAACCTGAATCACATTCCTCTGCTGAACCTGAATCACATTCCTCTGCTGAACCTGAATCACATTCCTCTGCTGAACCTGAATCACATTCCTCTGCTGAACCTGAATCACATTCCTCTGCTGAACCTGAATCACATTCCTCTGCTGAACCTGAATCACATTCCTCTGCTGAACCTGAATCACATTCCCCTGCTGAACCTGAATCACATTCTTCTGCTGAACCTGAATCACATTCTTCTGCTGAACCTGAATCACATTCTTCTGCTGAACTTGAATCACATTCTTCTACTAGACCATGTTCTTCTGCTGAACCTGAATCACATTCCTCTGCTGAACCTGAATCACATTCTTCTGCTGAACCTGAATCACATTCCTCTGCTGAACCTGAATCACATTCCTCTGCTGAACCTGAATCACATTCCTCTGCTGAACCTGAATCACATTCTTCTGCTGAACCTGAATCACATTCCTCTGCTGAACCTGAATCACATTCCTCTGCTGAACCTGAATCACATTCCCCTGCTGAACCTGAATCACATTCTTCTACTAGACCATGTTCTTCTGCTGGATCATGTTCTTTTACCGAACCACATTCTTCTGCTGAACCTGAATCACATTCTTCTGCTGAACCTGAATCACATTCCTCTGCTGAACCTGAATCACATTCCTCTGCTGAACCTGAATCACATTCCTCTGCTGAACCTGAATCACATTCCTCTGCTGAACCTGAATTACATTCCTCTGCTGAACCTGAATCACATTCCTCTGCTGAACCTGAATCACATTCCTCTGCTGAACCTGAATCACATTCTTCTGCTGAACCTGAATCACATTCCTCTGCTGAACCTGAATCACATTCCTCTGCTGAACCTGAATCACATTCCCCTGCTGAACCTGAATCACATTCTTCTGCTGAACCTGAATCACATTCTTCTGCTGAACCTGAATCACATTCTTCTGCTGAACTTGAATCACATTCTTCTACTAGACCATGTTCTTCTGCTGAACCTGAATCACATTCCTCTGCTGAACCTGAATCACATTCTTCTGCTGAACCTGAATCACATTCCTCTGCTGAACCTGAATCACATTCCTCTGCTGAACCTGAATCACATTCTTCTGCTGAACCTGAATCACATTCCTCTGCTGAACCTGAATCACATTCCTCTGCTGAACCTGAATCACATTCTTCTGCTGAACCTGAATCACATTCTTCTACTAGACCATGTTCTTCTGCTGGATCATGTTCTTTTACCGAACCACATTCTTCTGCTGAACCTGAATCACATTCCTCTGCTGAACCTGAATCACATTCCCCTGCTGAACCTGAATCACATTCTTCTACTAGACCATGTTCTTCTGCTGGATCATGTTCTTTTACCGAACCACATTCTTCTGCTGAACCTGAATCACATTCTTCTGCTGAACCTGAATCACATTCCTCTGCTGAACCTGAATCACATTCCTCTGCTGAACCTGAATCACATTCCTCTGCTGAACCTGAATCACATTCCTCTGCTGAACCTGAATCACATTCTTCTACTAGACCATGTTCTTCTGCTGGATCATGTTCTTTTACCAAAGCACATTCTTCTGCTTGACCTGGACCACATTCTTCCACTGGACTATGTTATTCAGGGCACAGTGATTTCTAACTCATTTTATGATAATAAAATGTATAATAATTGGCTTCCTGACATAATGGTTACAACAGCATACATCCAAAGCAATGGCAAGCAAAAGGAAAATTAAGATAAAAGTAAGAATTCAACAATTTTTAAGATGTTTCATTTAAAAATTGTATTTATATATATTTTACATTAATTACAATAGTTTTACATTTTAAAATAATTTTATTTGTTAAATGTAATTTAGTTTTATTTGCATATGCATTAATTTTGCTTGCGTACGACCAACTTGTCATGACTGACTACTTCCCTCAGTGACCCATTGCAATTATAATGGTGACTGTTTGTGTTGCCACCTCTGAGCAACTGCCTTATGCATTTGCTGCTTGCCTATGTCTGAATTTTACCAGGAGTGTTTGTTTGTTGACTAGTTTTCAAATGGGACAATGAGGTGAATTTCTTGTGGTTTGCACAGGAATGGAGCAAATGTGGGGTTGACCTGTTTGCAGGCACATTGAAACCTTGACTGCTGCTAGAAGTAATTTTTGTTTCCCCTTAGGATGCCATACTTTCATACAACCCTCACTACAGACGCAGATGGAACTTTGATTCTCTTCATCAATTCTTTGAGGTAGGGGACATAGTTCAGAAGTTTTCAAATTATTTAACTCTTTCTATTCCAGCCAGTGTACAGTGTGTTATCTGCTGCAGTCAGTGTGTATTAAACAATGAAGGGTGCAGTGTGTATTACACTATGAAGGGTGCAGTATGTATTAAACAGTGAAGGGTGCCGTATGTATTAAACAATGAAGGGTGCATATGTATTAAACAGTGAAGGGTGCAGTATGTATTACACTATGAAGGGTGCAGTATGTATTAAACAGTGAAGGGTGCAGTATGTATTAAACAATGAAGGGTGCAGTATGTATTAAACAGTGAAGGGTGCAGTATGTATTACACTATGAAGGGTGCAGTATGTATTACACTATGAAGGGTGCAGTATGTATTAAACAGTGAAGGGTGCAGTATGTATTAAACAATGAAGGGTGCAGTATGTATTACACTATGAAGGGTGCAGTGTGTATTAAACAATGAAGGGTGCAGTATGAATTAAACTATGAAAAGTGCAGTGTGTATTACACTATGAAGGGTGCGGTGTGTATTTTGCATTCATTTTGAGCATGGTAAAGAAATCTGGTTAGATATGCCAACATACACCTCAGTATATGTTTATCTGAAAATAAATGTCTGAGAATAATTGTGAATATAAAATGGGATAGATTTTTTAAAAAGTGAGGATATCAGAGAAATGTCTGGACACGTAGCTGCAATAAGACAAAGAAGGTGGAGACATATTGGGCATGTCGAAATGGGCAAAGAATTACAAAGCATGCCATAAAATGACAACAACAAGAAAGAAAGAAAGGGGTGAGAAACAGAGCACCTCCTAGGGAAACATTAAGAAAAATATGATTACAAGAAGCTAAAAATGCTGGGTCGACCTCTGTATCCGAATTGGAAAGAAAAGCATACAGTAGAGAAGAATGAAAGAATCAAATGAGAGCCCTATGTGACGTCAAATGGCACACACCAGATGATGATGATAATACATAGACTGTTTTGTCCACCTTAAACTAGGCCAGTGGTTCCTATCTAGCTAAAACCTGCATATTATTTTTTATGTTTGCCACAGAACTCATACTTTTCAAATAGTCATGCCGAAGAACTGATCTTCTTTCTTCACGTTCACTGGCTGTTAATTCCAGCGAAAAGTTATGGTTGTTTGTCCACTTCTGGACTCTAGTCCTCTTTCAGAACCTGAGTGTTGTGTGCACATATTTTCATAGGTGTGACTTTTTTGTATGCAAACTGTTGCCTCTCAGGCAAATGTACTCCAACTTCAAAGGAAGCTGCCGATTAATCAACTCCTACGACTTGCTTGTTGGGGAGGCAGTGGATCGTTTCTTGTTTTCCCCACAATGGGGCCTCTGGAGCCCCACAGGAAAGGGAAGAATATTATAATTTATTTTTATTTATATATATATTCATCATCATGAAGTGCATACTTTGCAGAAGTCATTCTCCTCCCCTCTGCCTAAAGGAAACCTGGTCTCTGGCCAGCTCTCCCACGTATTGCACTTTCCTGCTCAAGTTGTCACTTATAATTGTCATGTATATCCTGTGCCCACCTTTGATCTAGTCGGCCCGTTCCCTTCTTTCCTGGTACTACCCCTGCTGTTATTATTTTTTCTGATCTGTCATGACACTTGATATGGTCAAAATATTTCAGTTTCTAGACAGGATGCTATTTACTAGCCAATATCCTTTGATGTTCAGATGTATTAGGATGTTAGTATTCTTTGATGTTCAGATGTATTAGGATGTTAGTATTCTTTGATGTTCAGATGTTTTAGGATGTTAGTATTCTTTGATGTTCAGATGTATTAGGATGTTAGTATTCTTTGATGTTCAGATGTATTAGGATGTTAGTATTCTTTGATGTTCAGATGTATTAGGATGTTAGTATTCTTTTGCCTTTTTTTTTTTTTTTTTTGGGTCCATGGTCTACTGAAAAATCATTTGTAGCCTTTCAGCTTAAAGGCCTCTATTTCTTCCTTAAGGACTTTATATATATATATATATATATATATTAGGGTTACAAAAATAAGTGCATTCTGAAGTTTTAAACGAAAATGTTTGTCTCACTTCTAAATGATGCTGATGTAGACAGTTTGCGTATGTACCCAGTCATTGATATATTTTTTTTAAAAGAGAACATTCTTATCTAGTATTTGTGGAGGTGGGTGTGTATATTTTTGCTTGCTTATTTTTCTATCTCAGTTTACAAATTGTGAGGACTATTGTTTCAGGAAAGTGAACATGGTGGACATATAAAGGATGAATTTTTCACAACCATTTTGCCAGAGATGCAGAAACTTGCTCTTCGGCTATCTGAGCTTTGTCCTAAGGTAAGTTTCTCAGATTTGTTTCATTCCTTTAATACATAGCATACACTTCTTTTGGGAGCTGTGGGAACGTTGTCGCTGGATGCTCGCCCAAAGATTTAGGGTCTGATTCCAATTTGAGACTGATTTTTCTTCTTCTTCTTCTTCTTCTTCTTTGTTCACCGGCTGTAAGCACCGCCGAAAAGTCCTGGTTATTCGTTCATTTGGACTTTGGTTTTGTGCAGAACCTTAATTTTTTTTCGTGCATATCCATTTTATTGTCTTATTTGAGTGTAGTTAGTTGTTCCTTGCTGCTTGGCAGATGCACTCCAACTTCTAAGGAAGCTCCCAATTAGTCGACTTGTGCGACCTGCTTGTTGGGAAGGCAATGTGTCTGGGACCCTCACGGGGAGATGATTGTTTTCTTCAGAATTTATCTTGGCTTCCAGACTGACCCAGCCTAAAGTATGTCTAGTGTTTTGTCCTGGCATTATGTGCCTGATTCAGAGCTGGTGTAAGAAGGATCAAGTCAGTTGCATGCTCTTAAACAGGTGTTTTCAGAACCAACCCCAGCATTTTTTTTAGTGGTTGTAGTTTTTCTGGGCAAATTTCCGTTCAGTAGTTTGCCATTGCTTTCTGGCTCTCATTACCACTGTCGACACTAATGCAAGGTGGTCTGCTGCCAAACCGCCGGCAGCTGGGATTGAATCTCACACCACAAAGCCTAAGCCACAAATGCTGAGGTAAGAAGGATCTTTTACTGAATTACTTAGTCCTTGGTTAGTCAGGGTTCCAACATTGCGGCAGATGGATAACCTCATAATTGTCCCAGTCTCGTGCCAGTGAAAATCACCCCAATTGCCCTTGACTGTCCCATTTGCTATTCAAAAACTTGTCATTCTCAGCAAAATCTTGAAGCTTGCACGCACAAAATAAAAATGCACAAGGCAGCTGTCAGGTGTGCCAACACTAACAGTCCCTCGTTAAAACTGATGCTTTTTGTTAGCGTAAATGGTCGGTCATTTACCTACAGTACGGCTCTGTCAGGCACAGTGGCCTGATGCTGGCCTACTTTTGTCTTTTGATCAATTGACAGTAATTGAAAGAAAAACTAAACTCGTTCTTCCAGCAGTGGAAAGGGAACTAAACCCAGTCTTTCGGCAGTGGAAAGAAAAATAAACAGTCTTATTCTAGTGGTTAAAAGAAAACCAAACTTGGTTTTCCAGCAGTAGAAATAAAACTAAACTATTGTCTTCCAGCGGTAGAAATAAAACTAAACTATTGTCTTCCAGCGGTAGAAATAAAACTAAACTATTGTCTTCCAGCGGTAGAAATAAAACTAAACTATTGTCTTCCAGCAGTAGAAATAAAACTAAACTATTGTCTTCCAGCGGTAGAAATAAAACTAAACTATTGTCTTCCAGCAGTAGAAATAAAACTAAACTATTGTCTTCCAGCAGTAGAAATAAAACTAAACTATTGTCTTCCAGCAGTAGAAATAAAACTAAACTATTGTCTTCCAGCAGTAGAAATAAAACTAAACTATTGTCTTCCAGCAGTAGAAATAAAACTAAACTATTGTCTTCCAGCAGTAGAAATAAAACTAAACTATTGTCATCCAGTAGTAGAAAGAAAACTAAATTATAGCTAAGTATTCATTCATGGGCTCTACATTTGTATGTGTGTGTGTGTATATATATATATATATATATATATATATATATATATATAATTTAAAAAATAATACAGTTTTCCGTTAGTAAATTGGTAAACTATTAATCTTTACCAATGTTTGCAATATTATTTCACATTGGATCGATACATCTAGAATGTTTGTTGTTTTTCTGTCTAGGCAATACCTATTTTAAAGCAACGACGAAATATGAAACTCACCTTCAGCCAGGAGCAGGTTGCTTGTCTTTTGGCCAATGCCTTTTTCTGTACATTTCCCAAACGCAACTTCAAGTCAAAGCATTGCCTGCTACCAGATATCAACTTCAGCAAGTGAGTTGTTCCTGTTGTTTCAAATGTCCTTGTGTCATATATATTTGTATATATATGTGTGTGTGTATGCACAGGCTTGCATGTATGAGCATGCGCTTGTGTGTTCATGGGTGCTGCAGATACATACACACACACATGCACGCACACACACATATATATATTTACACATTTATATACATATGCTGCATGTATACATACACACACATGCACAAATACACACATGTGGTGTGTACACACACACGCACACACACACACACATATATATATACACATACATACATACATATATACATACATATAAATACATATATATATATATAAAACTTAACTTGTGATATGTACCAGCGTACACATACATTGATGCGTACATATGTACACATACACATACCCACGCCTGCTGACCCTAAGCCGTACTCACCTACCCGCCCGCCCACTGTTATTTGTCTGGTGTCTAGAAGGATAAACAAATGGATATATATTAATTGACACTTATAGATGCAGAGCAAAGATGTAAGGATTGGAAGACATGCTAAACACATAAACATTGAAGGTTCTGCACTGAAACCTTTTTAACACCAATTTCGAGGGACTCATTCTGAATTACGAGGGGAAGACGTTAAGTAAAGGCAGTTGTATTCTAGTCTGCCTGGAACAGAATGCAGAAGACACATTTTTATTTCAGGACACAGAATAGAAACAGGAAAAGGGTGAAACTGTGACTAGTACTCATTACACTGATAGTCAACTAGTTAAAGCCCCCGATCCATTTGAAAGTGTGGGGTTTCTCTCAGGAGTTTTATTATTGCTGTATAACAATGCCCTACTCCACACGGCTGCGCAAACTGTGGATACACTACAGACTGTGCAGTTTGAAGTATTAAAGCATCTAGAATACAGCCCAGACTTGGCTCCATCGGACTGTCATTTGTTTGGTCCATTGGAAACAAATTTGCGGAGTCAGAGATTTGCAGATGACAATGAAGTGATGTTGATGATGCAGACTTGGTTACTGGCCGCACCCTAACACTTTTACCTGGCGTGCATCTGCAGTCTTGTGGCTTAGTGGACTACATGTGTTGTATGGACTACATGTGTTGCATGGCAGTTGGACTGTGCTGAGAAATATAACACAGAACAGTTTTGTTCTGGCCGCTTGTAAAAAAAAAAAATGTTTATTAATGCATTTGCCTTTACTTAATGACTTTCCCTCGTACATCTTTGCAGATGGGACCAACATTTTGTTCCTGTTAACTGTTTGTTTGTCTTAAGTTTAATGAGGTTTGACTATATAGTTACTATACTGAGACTAGAGCCTGATGCCTCGCTGATGGAGCCAGTGTACTTTGTGGCCAGCTAGACACTCCTGAAAGAGGGTGTCATCATTAGCCATGTCTGTCATACACTTTCTCTGGTTCTCTCTTCGTCTGTGAAAAGCAAGTGTACTTTGTTGCATGGCCAGCTAGACACTCCTGAAAGAGAGTGTCATCATTAGCCATGTCTGTCATACACTTTCTCTGGTTCTCTCTTCGTCTGTGAAAAGCAAGTGTACTTTGTTGCATGGTCAGCTAGACACTCCTGAAAGAGAGTGTCATCATTAGCTGTGTCTGTCATATACTTTCTCTAGTTCTCTCTTCGTCTGTGAAAAGCAAGTGTACTTTGTTGCATGGCCAGCTAGACACTCCTGAAAGAGAGTGTCATCATTAGCCATGTCTGTCATATACTTTCTCTGGTTCTCTCTTCGTCTGTGAAAAGCAAGTGTACTTTGTTGCATGGCCAGCTAGACACTCCTGAAAGAGGGTGTCATCATTAGCCATGTCTGTCATATACTTTCTCTGGTTCTCTCTTCGTCTGTGAAAAGCAAGTGTACTTTGTTGCATGGCCAGCTAGACACTCCTGAAAGAGGGTGTCATCATTAGCCGTGTCTGTCATACACTTTCTCTGGTTCTCTCTTCGTCTGTGAAAAGCAAGTGTACTTTGTTGCATGGCCAGCTAGACACTCCTGAAAGAGGGTGTCATCATTAGCCGTGTCTGTCATACACTTTCTCTGGTTCTCTCTTCGTCTGTGAAAAGCAAGTGTACTTTGTTGCATGGCCAGCTAGACACTCCTGAAAGAGAGTGTCATCATTAGCCGTGTCAGTCATATACTTTCTCTGGTTCTCTCTTCGTCTGTGAAAAGCAAGTGTACTTTGTTACATGGCCAGCTAGACACTCCTGAAAGAGAGTGTCATCATTAGCCGTGTCTGTCATATACTTTCTCTGGTTCTCTCTTCGTCTGTGAAAAGCAAGTGTACTTTGTTGCATGGCCAGCTAGACACTCCTGAAAGAGAGTGTCATCATTAGCCGTGTCTGTCATACACTTTCTCTGGTTCTCTCTTCGTCTGTGAAAAGTAAGCAAAGTAAAGAACCCTTGTAATCCCACTGGCGAATCATCTGTATAATATTAGACTCATATTTATATGGACCAATCAGCACTTTGTGGGTGATGTGATCAGCATCCTTGATGGTCACTTTTGCTTCCTAGGACATTACATTGATGCCAGATTGTAACTAAATCAACCTGGGAGCCAGGGTCATATAAAAAAAAAAAAGACCTGCCTTGATGCAGATTTGAACTCTAGACCTTTGCCCTAGCAGACATGCATCTAGACACTACACTGCCGTCCCTCCCTATAGGATCTATGAGTGTCGGTCAGAACATGTCAGTTTGCTTATCATATGGCTTCTATATCACTGCTAGTCACACCCGCCATCCCCATGGTTGTGATTTCTATACCTGCCTGTAGCACATATAACACTGTCATACGGAAAGGTGCTAACATGGCTTCTGTGCCCTCCAGAGTTTCCCGGCAATGTATTTATCCAGTCAAGAATGTAGCATTTGCCTGCAGGGGGTCACCATGGCAAAATTGTTCAGGTGTTTACCTCATGCTGTGAAGGCTGTGGCTTCAGTTTGTCATCTTTGTAATCAGGCAATCAGAGCTCCAACTTCATAACAAACAGGTCCCCCTCCTGTACCAACAAAAACCTCACAAAATATCCATCCCTGTCCCTGGTGAAAGAAAATGATGCAGACTCAGCATATCCAACAGCATACACCCGCATTAAATGAATAAAGCAACATGTAAAGACATGAAATGTCGAGTTCTTTATGAGGGAAAGCTAACAGATGCATTTGAAATAAAAACAGGTGTGCGACAGGGATGTCTTTTGTCGCCTCTCTTATTTTTACTGGCTATAGACTGGACTATGAAAACAGTGCTAACACCAGGAATTGAATTCAGTGGATCCCTACAAAACAGCTCGGTGATCTGGACTTCGCTGATGATATTGCTTTTCTGTCCCATTCACGGAATCAGATGCAAGATAAATTAAATATACTTGATGCGAGATCACAGCAGCTTGGTCTGAAAATCCATAAAGGAAAGACAAAGATAATGAGAATAAATCAGGCAAATAGTAATGTGGTTTCTCTTAATGGCACCCCACTGCAAGACGTGGAGTCGTACACCTATTTAGGCAGTAATGTAGATAAATACGGAGGAACTGATAGAGATATTAAAATAAGAATACAAAAGGCAAGAGGGGCTTTCATAGCACTAGGGAACTTGTGGAGGTCAAAAGAAATTAAAAGAAATACTAAACTAAAAATTTTTAATTCTAATGTCAAATCAGTACTATTGTATGGGGCGGAAACATGGAGAACAACCAAGGCAATTACTAATAAATTACAGACATTCATTAACTGGTGCCTGCGCAGAATAGATAGAAAAACTAATGTAGAACTTTGGGAGAGAACTAAACAGGCTCCAGTGGACCAAATGGTGAGGAAAAGACGCTGGCATTGGATAGGACACACGCTGAGAAAACAGGAGAACAGCATAACTAGAATGTCTTTGCATTGGAACCCACAGGGGCATAGGAATAAAGGAAGGCCAAAAAACACATGGAGAAGAGAGCTGGAGAATGAAGTTAGAAAGATGGGGAGAGCTCTATGCAATGGCAAAGGATAGAACGACTTGGCGTGAGTTGGTTGAGGGCCTATGCTCCATTGGATGATAGAAAGGCAGAAGAAGAAGAAGAAATGCATAAGGCAGCAATCAGAAATGCCATCACGTACGGCCCAACACTTTTAACTGTCAGTGGAAGCAGCAGTTACAACAGATCAGTAGTTGCCCAAGCAGTTAATCACACAGGGCACCACAAATTCTCTGGCAACAGGCTGTTTTCCACTTTCTGAATCTGCAGTTTACAATACATACCACATTTGGCACAGTCGAAAAACATTCAGAATATTATATCTGCAGCTTACAGTGTCGCATCAAGCACACAACAGTAGCGAGGGCAAGGTCTGTCTACATATGCAGGAAAATGCAGCGGCTAACTGTTGAAAAAAAAACTTGCCACCACTAAAATCATAAAAACCTGCAAATCCGCCTGCTGACCAGAATTCTAGGCTCTGTCGTTCAGTTCACAAGTGCTGATGTTTCAGAGATCCCCATGGGGTCATTACCGGAGCTGCAGAAATTGTTGCTCTATGCAGCTCTTTTGGTGGACAGTCACTCTGCAGGGTTAGTGAAAACAAATGAGATAATACTTGCAGTGCAAAAGTCACCTCAGCAGAATTGTGGCAATTCTCACCCAAATGTACTTTCAGAGCTGTTATGTGTCCCTTTACAATACAGGGGGGGGGGGGCATGTTAGCGTAGTCTGTAGGAGACTCACTTTCAAATCCAGCAGCGACTTGCTGCAGCCCACGGCAGGAGTTCGAAACTGGGCAGTTCCCGGGGTTCACCCAACCTCTAGGTAATGGGTACCAGAGTTAACACTCTGGGGTCAATGGAGGGACGTCGCCGTAGCTACGGAGTTGCGTGCGGACGACGACACAGGCGGACAGTTTCTTATCAGCTATCCGTACTGGTGGCAGAGCACTTATGGTTTATGGTTTAACTTTACAATACACCAATTTCACATGTGTAAATTTCGCCTCCAAATAGGTCAGAATTAAATATGACTGTTCATGCAACTGTAATTTGTTCCAGAGTTCCTGCTATACTTTAAAAATCTGTAACTGGCTAACTGTTCTTGTAAGTTGTTGAAATTGGGCATACAGCCTGTTGATAATAATATTTTTGTAAGTATTTTGTTTTAATGTAAACAGACATTTAGTTTTCATTTTGCCTTATTTACGATAAATGAAAAAACAGACACCGATTCCAAGCAAACAATCAGCATGCTTACAGTAAATTGAGTAAGGGGAACTTTTTTAAACATCAGACTGCACATGTGTCATAGGCGTTTCACTCTCGGGTGGTCATCTCCAGCATAAGTCTCTAGTGAGTTGTGGATTTTTCCTTGAGTGTGGAATAGGCTGTCAAAATAACCACCAGACATTCCTGAACATATGAACTGATTTCCAAACAATCTCAGCACATCTGTCAGTTACAGTATATTCTGTTTTCAGGGGTACATAAATTATTAGTAAAATGAAGGTCACAGAATTTTGCAGTTAAGAAAACGGCAGCATCTGCACAATTATAAATTATAGAACTATAAAGACATCAGAAATTTAAGGCTATGTGCAAACATTTGTGTTGACCTGTAAAGGAGTTTTTGAGATATTTGTAAGTGTGACAGCGTGAGTTATAAAACGTACTTTACACAGTTTTGTTTTTCACCACTTAGTGTTCAAACATGATTTTCTCTACACTGAGATTTAGTACCCAAGTGACTGATATAATGCAATGATATTAGATGTAGTGAAGTAAATACTCTTTCCTTTTAAATGCTTTTTAAAAATTATGTTTCGTATCTGTTATTTATCTAAAGCCCATGTACGTCAAATCACAAATTGTGAGATGAGATGCCCAAGAAAAGCCATCAACTTAACCATTCATTATTTGAGTAAATAATGAAACCATCAGAAAGAGTGTGGGATTGACACCTTTTATTATATTCATTGAGAAACTGCAGATCAACTGGTTTGGCCATCTTGTTAGAATGCAGCACCATCAAATACCATCACAGGCACAACATTTCAGAAGGTAAGAAGAGGGACACAAAAAGGATGGATAGACAGCAAAAAGACATTTCACGCCTTTATGGCATGACAGTAGCTAGTGCCAGCCAGCTTACACTGGATCACAAATTGTTCCTCCCTGGGACGTTTATTGGCAGAAGTGGTTTGTGATGATTAACTTTTTTGTGTTTTTTTTTTGCAGTTTGTTTAGTGACTCACAAAACTCCCGCAAGGTGGAGAAGCTTGCCTGTATCATCAACTACTTCCAGAGGGTTACCAGTGACAGTAAGTTATCACACAGTTACCAGTGACAGTAAGTTATCACACAGTTACCAGTGACAGTAAGTTATCACACAGTTACCAGTGACAGTAAGTTATCGCACAGTTACCAGTGACAGTAAGTTATCGCACAGTTACCAGTGACAGTAAGTTATCGCACAGTTACCAGTGACAGTAAGTTATCACACAGTTACCAGTGACAGTAAGTTATCGCACAGTTACCAGTGACAGTAAGTTATCGCACAGTTACCAGTGACAGTAAGTTATCGCACAGTTACCAGTGACAGTAAGTTATCGCACAGTTACCAGTGACAGTAAGTTATCACACAATGATCGTCTACTGCAGGGCTACCTCACTAAGTTTATGAAGGAGCCACAATTTTGAAAATGCGGATCCTCGTGGGCCAGAGGCCCTAGCCCCAGAATAGAAAGAAGATCATAATACAGAACAGATGGCAATGATCCATGGGGCACTTGCTAGGTTCCATAGGCCAGATATGGCCCATGGGTCACCAGTTGAGCAGCCCTGGTCTACGGTGTGTCACATAAATCACTTGAATGATGTCCTAAATAGGCGGGACAGCATTAGAGACAAGACAGTTTTAATGTAAGTCAGGGTATGACTAGAAAGCTAAGCGGAAGGAAAGGAAAAGACTCACACAGTTAAAAGCAAACGCTTCGACCATAGTCTTTATCAGCAGATAATACAACAGAATTATAAACAACCAGCAGATGTGGTGAAGGTTCTCTGGGATCAGATGGACACTGCAGCCAAACAGACAGTGAATCCATACACTGAAGGACTAATGCAATGAAGGGTGAGCAGAGGTTCTGGAAGATATTCAACCTGACGGGGAAACAGAGGCGGACTTTTAATCAGGTTGCAACTGGTAATGTTAGCATGACTACTATTCGTTGGCTCCTGAAGAAGGAGACGGAGCACATTTGGGAATCTGCCTAGTGCAGTGATGTCAGTTCCTTGTTCATTCATTTATTCATTCATTCATAAACAACCAGTAAGCTTGCACAGAAATGGAAATGCACAGAAAGAGTTAAAACTGGAAAGTAAATTCCAACAAATGCATGGTGAGTTGTTTGGTACTAAATGGGTTAAAACAGTATTTCAGTCATTAGACTCCAAATACAGTAAAACTGCGTTAACACTAACTTGCTTATGAAGAACACTCAGTTCACATGAACACAATGTTGATCCCAGCAGGGATGTATGTTTATTAGTCCTTGGTTAGCATAAAATTGTTAACACAAACTTGATTTTTTATTCCTTAGTGTTTGTGTTAACGAGGTTTTGCTGTAAATACAAAGAGTAATATCAAGTTTGGCGTATGTATTTTTTGGGGGGTTAAAGGCAATAAGAAAGGCGAGCAAACTTAATATCTTCTTCTGTGAGGTAATGAACAGCCTGTTAGATTAGCTGCTGCTGCTCCTCTGGGTCGGTGGCTAGCTACTTTATGATAAAATGGACGTGGTGAAGAGGCTGTCTGGGTTCAATTAGAGAGTGCAATAAAACAGACAGAATCCATACATTGAAAGACTCATTTGTGGGTGGGTGGGGGTGGGTAGTTGTTCCGGAAGATATTCGGCACAGAGCGAGGAAACTTTGGCAGACTTTTAATCAGGTTGCAGCTGGTACTGTTAGCATGTCAACTCTTCGTTGGCTGCTTAAGCAGGGGACGAAGCACTTATGGGAATGTCCTCAGTGCAGTGATGTCAGTTCTTGATTCATTCTTACCTTCTTTTTTCTTGTAAAGGCCAGCGAAAAGTTCTGGTTTTTCGTCCACTTCCGAACTTTGGTCTTTTTCCAGTTTTGCAGATCTGGCTTATCTGTATGCAGACTGCTGGTTCCTTGCCTCTCAGGCAGATGCACTCTGACTTTGAAGGAAACTCTCCTGAACAGTCGCCTTTTATGACATGATTGTTAAGGAGGCAGATTCCTTTTTCCTCCCAGACTGTTGCCCACACGGGACAGATTTGATACCATCCCTGAGGGGTCAAACCGGTAGATCGATCGACACTGAAAATATGGAAATCGCCAAAAGTGTTTATTTAGAGCGAACATTTAAAAAAAATTATGATCCCAACGTAGCGCACAATTTTTCTAAAATAGCCATTTGAACAAATGTCCAGGTTGGAAAAAAAAACAGTTTGCCTTAAGCAGATCACATTACATAGTTGGGGCACTTTTAAGCGCTTAGCATATCCGAAAATGTGTACTAAACTCTAGATTCTGGACAAAGAAGAGAAATTGCCAGCGATAAACAAATTGTTCTTCACAACAAAAATAGGCCACACACCCTGATCACCTTCAGCGGTCTGCACTGTATGTATAAGATATTCTGACCATCTTTAAATGTTCACGTAACAGTGCCAAAAGGAACAGTGACATACGCAAGACAGCATGTAGTACCTGAACACGACTGGCCAAAGATGGATAAGAAGTTTAGCAACCTTCATGTGTCAACTTCAGGCACAATTGAAGATGATGGATGGGGAATGCTTCAGGTAAGTAAACTTCTGTTAGTCTGCTGCTTCTTCTTCTTCTTCTTCTTCGCTGTCACTGTCTACATCTTGCTGTCTTCGCTAAGACTTTCACCTTATCTAATAAATGAGTTAGGAGGTGGATTATTTTCACAGCACTCTGGACACATCTATAGGCGCTCAGATTCCCCTCTCAACATATTCATCAGCGTCGCACGGTTAATAGTGCCGGTCCTATGTTGGTTAACAATTGTTGTTACACAAGTCTGAAAGTGTTGACTTAACTCTCAGTCTGTGGCTGCCTCATCTTTAAATAAATGTTAGGGTCAGTATGAGTTGATTGTTAATGAATGCTGTCATAGAGGCCAGTAATTTCTTCTTCTTCATGTTCACCAGCTGTAAACTCTGATGGAAAAGTTCTGGTTGTTCACCCACTTCTGGACTTTGGTCTTGTTCCAGGTCTTGAGTGTTGAGTGCACACCTATTTTATAAATCTGATTTATTTGTATGCAGACTGTTGGTTCCCAGCCGTTCAGGCAGATGCACTCCCACTTGAAAAAAAATAACCCCTCTTACTAGTGGAATTTTGTGACATGATTATTAGGAGGCAGTGGGTCTGTTCTTTTTCCCCCTCAAAATGAGGCCCCTGAACCCACACGGGGATCTCTTTCTAGTGAATCAGTTGGGATAATATCTTATATCTGTATATAACAGCTGAAAATAATAATTGGTAATAATAAATAGGATTGGTTGAAATACCAGCCAGCTGTTAATAATTATAAATAGGATTGGTTGAAATACTGAAATTAAACAATAAAGATGTGTCTTAACTGGTAATCACTGGTCTATATTAATAAGTGGACAGAACAGTCTATTGTATAGTACATTAATAATTTTATTAGTAAGCAGACAGAAGCCGTTTATATTTTGGTATAAGAACTGTGTATAGTAATTCTTTCGGTCCCATCAACACCTGATGTGTGAATAATTTTACATCTTGATTCCACTCCATAGCATAATGCACTCACTTACTTCTACCATTTGGTCAGAACATACTAGAGAAATCTGTCCCTCCCCCATTGGTCACTACAACTAATATAATGCCACTTTGAAAGTAAAGGTTTCATCCCAAAGCTGGCAGCAAGGAGAGACCAATGAATCTGGTAGACACTCAGCACTCATAGAGAAACGTGAGGTTGTCCTTGGCAAAATAGTCAAGCCACTTGCCTCATGCTCTGAAAGTCATGGGTTTGTTTCTTATGGACACACTGCTTGAATCATGAGTGCAGTTTCTTTTCTTTTTTTTACAGAGATCCCCGTGAATATGATTTTACTGTTCTGACAGGCTGAATGTGTATGTGATTTTACTATTCTAGTAGGCTGAATGTGTATGTGATTTTACTGTTCTGTCAGGCTGAATGTGTATGTATTTTACTGTTCTGACAGGCTGAATGTGAATGTGATTTTACTGTTCTGTCAGGCTGAATGTGTATGTGATTTTACTGTTCTGGCAGGCTGAATGTGTATGTGATTTTACTATTCTAGTAGGCTGAATGTGTATGTGATTTTACTGTTCTGGCAGGCTGAATGTGTATGTATTTTACTGTTCTGACAGGCTGAATGTGAATGTGATTTTACTGTTCTGTCAGGCTGAATGTGAATATGATTTTACTGTTCTGTCAGGCTGAATGTGAATGTGATTTTACTGTTCTGACAGGCTGAATGTGTATGTGATTTTACTGTTCTGTCAGGCTGAATGTGAATGTGATTTTACTGTTCTGTCATGCTGAATGTGAATGTGATATTTACTGTTCTGGCAGGCTGAATGTGTATGTGATTTTACTATTCTAGTAGGCTGAATGTGTATGTGATTTTACTGTTCTGGCAGGCTGAAGGTGTGTGTATTTTACTGTTCTAGTAGGCTGAATGTGTATGTGATTTTACTGTTCTGGCAGGCTGACTTTGCTAACAAGTATGTTGGTGGAGGTGTGTTAGGGCATGGCTTGGTACAAGAAGAAATCCGCTTTATTATCTGTCCAGAGATGATTTTGTCACGGCTCTTCACTGAGGCATTGACTGATAATGAGGTTCTTATTATGACGGGTGAGTACATTTTACATTGTTTTCTTATGCTCCATCTGTTGTGTGTGTTGTTCACAAGTTTACTGTGGTTACTACTTCTTCTTATACTGCACCTTGTTTTGTGCTATTCACAAGGTTACCCAGATTCCTGTATCTTCTTACTCCATCTTGTTTTGTGTTTTGCACAAAGTTGCCCAGACTAATGCTTCTTTTTACTCCACCTTATTTTGTGATGTTCACAAGTTTGCCCAGGCTACTGCTTGTTCTTACACTCCTTCTTGTTTTGTGTTGTTCACATCTGTGCCCTAACTCCTGCTTCTTGTTATACTCTATCTTGTTTTGTGTTGTTCACATCTGTGCTCTAACTCCTGCTTCTTGTTATACTCTATCTTGTTTTGTGTTGTTCAGTCACATCTGTGGCCTAACTCCTGCTTCTTGTTATACTCTATCTTGTTTTGTGTTGTTCACATCTGTGCTCTAACTCCTGCTTCTTGTTATACTCTATCTTGTTTTGTGTTGTTCACATCTGTGCTCTAACTCCTGCTTCTTGTTATGCTCCATCTTGTTTTGTGTTGTTCACAAGTTTGTCCAGAGTCGCTTGTTTAATCCACACATTTGTTAAACTGACTCTGGCTCTAAGGTCAGCTCAGCCGAAAAACAGTAAATAAAAAAAAAAAGTAGAAGACCCCTTTTATGCCAGTGGCACATCAGGCATATAATTCATATTTGTATAGACCAATCAGCACCTGCAAACGCTCGGTGTTACCAACTGGAATGAGAAAGCCAACCAGAGAGATGAATGGAGGTGGGTGATATCTGCAGCAGTGAACCTCAAGGGCTCGGAATGCTGAAGAAGGCTAACCAGAGAGATGAATGGAGGTGGGTGATATCTGCAGCAGTGAACCTCAAGGGCTCGGAATGCTGAAGAAGAAGAAGAAGAATCAGCACTCATTTTGTGTGTGGTCAACATTAAGATGGTCACCTTTACTTCCCAGGTCATTACCTGGTACCCCTTTTAGGCTGGGTCGATCTGAGAGCCAAGGTCAATTGAACCTAAAAATAGGTAGCAGAAAATGTTGTGGGAAGGGAAGTTGCTTGCAGTTTGTGTGCCACATTGTGCTCATTGATATGTAGTTGACCAGTTTTGTGTGCCACATTCTGCTATGGAAGGGAAACAGATTCTTTATGCTTTCGTGCTAACTCATAGCTCATTCCTGGGGGAGTTGCAGCAGTTTGTGTGCCCCTTGTGGGATTATGGGAAGTTGCTAGCAGTTGACCTGAATTGTGCTCATGGAATGGGGAATTAAAAGCAGTTTGTGTGCGACAGCCTGTGCTAAACTGAAAAACAACCTGCCAGCTGCCCTTTTAAGAAGAAGAAGAAGAAGTTGAATGCATAAATGTGCCACATTGTTCATTGTAATGTAAGATTAATGTCTCCATACAGATACATGTCATTACCTAACCAGTTTTCCTGAGTCTGGGGATTGCCCCCTTCAACTGGGTGGGTAACCGATTGGATGCAGTGGATTATTAAGCATGTTTGCACAGCCTAACTTGCAAAACAAAGCCTGCCCTCCATTCAGCCAAGAAGAATTCATAAGGTAACATTTCCTTGGTCTGCCTCTTTTCCCTTAGCACTACTCTGCTGTCACCAGCTCTGTCTGTCTCTTGTTTTGGCAGACTGGCATTAGATCACCATTGCTGTTGTCTGTTACCAATGTCCCTTTTTCACATTTCATGTTACGTCACTGGCTGTTAATCTCTGATGAAAAGCACTGATTGTCATCCACGTCACCACTTGTGGTCTTGTTCTGAACTTGAGTAGCACTACATGTCATTACGTCACCAGCTGCTGTCTGTCTGATGTCCCTTAGCACTACATGTCATTACATCACCAGTTGCTGTTGTCTGTCTAATGTCCCTTATACTACATGTCATTACGTCACCAGCTGTTGTCTGTCTGATGTCCCATAGCACTACATGTCATTACGTCACCAGCTGCTGTCTGTCTGATGTCCCTTCAACTCTGTCTATCGGCTGCAGTGGATTTATTTATGTTTGCATGTTTGAAGCCTGTCCAGTCAGCCAAGACAGCAGGTCTTCCTTGGTCTGCCTCTTTTCTCTTTCCCTCTGCTGAGCTCTGTAGTCTTGTTTTGGAGAGACTGGCAGATCTTATTACAGGTACTTACCATTGCATTTTTCATCTTCATGTTCGCTGGTTGTAATCTCTGATGAAAAGTTCTGATTGTTCATCCACTTCTGGACTTTGGTCTTGTTCCAGAACTTGAGTTGTATGTGCACATCCATTTTACACATTTGGCTTGCTTGTATGCAGACTGTTGATTCCTAGCCTATCAGGCAGATGCACTTCAACATCGAAGGATATACCCTTAATAAGTTGCCTTGTTGACCTGCTTGTTAGGAGCTACTGGGTCTGTTCTTTGGTTCCCCCCCCCCTTCCACCCCCTGAAATGTGCCCCAGTGTACACTGCTGCGAAAATTCATTTGTGATTGCCCATGTGTTAGCAGACTTTGTCATTTACGATGTGACACTGTGAAATGCCCGTGTATTCAAAAGGGTGAACTTAATGCCTTATTTATGTCCTTTCTAGGTTGTTTAAAGATTTGTTTACATATTGGTAGACACTGTGATGTGCCCGTGTATTCTGGAGACTACCGTGATTGTCCTGACAGGTTGTTTAGAGTTTAGACTTTGGTAGACACTGTGATGTGCCCGTGTATTCTGCTTCCTCCTCATTTGTCCTGACAGGTTGTTTAGAGTTTAGACTTTGGTAGACACTGTGATGTGCCCGTGTATTCTGCTTCCTTTAGAGTTTAGACTTTGGTGTTGCTGTTTAGAGTTTAGACTTTGGTGTTGTTGTTTAGAGTTTAGACTTTGGTGTTGTTGTTTAGAGTTTAGACTTTGGTGTTGTTGTTTAGAGTTTAGACTTTGGTAGACACTATGATGTGCTAGTGTATTCTGCTTCCTCCTCATTTGTCCTGACAGGCTATTTAGAGTTTAGACTTCATAGACACAGTGATGTTCCTGTCTTGCAGAAGTTATAGTAAAAGTATATTGTAGTAGTAGCTGAAGCTATATTAACAGTAGTTGTAGCTGCAGAAGCAGCAGTAAATAAAGTAGTAATAATTGTACGGGGGTACCTTGGAATTGGAACTCTCAAAACTCAGACTTCAGCACCTTCACCAGCAGAACTAAGAAATTGTAACACACACAAATTCTTCTAGGGAGGGAGAGGGTGAAGCTGGAAGGATCTGCACGGCCATCTTTTGACCATGTTTTTGAAAATGAGAGAGGTAAGAAAGTATATTTCACCCCACCAGGACATCACAGAAGCGATAAACACCCGGTGACACAAAGTGTCACCATGCGGATGAGGTCAGCTCCCTTCACCTTTGACGGTCAGATGTGATGGACTTCATGGCTGTATGCCAAACGCCTGTCCAGTCAGACAAGTTCTGTGTCCTGGTCTTCCTTGGTCTGCCTCTTCTCCTCTTCCCCTCTACTGAGCCCTGTAGTTTTGTTTGTGAGAGCCCGTTAGAGCTGATTGGCACTCAGTGCGTGATGCGGTTAACATGAGGACGACTGCCTTTACTTTCCAAGACTTTACCTGTTGACCATTTTAGGCTAGGTGGTCCTACAAGTATAGGTTATTTAGGGTGGAAAATCTGACTCAGCGCAAGTTCAAACCTAACAGCTTTGGGTGGGCAGGCAGGCAGATGTCTAGCTGCTGCACCACTGCAACTCCCTAGTTCATGAAATACATCAGTGGTATTATAGGTTTTTTTTATGAGTCACACACAGAGATAATTCTTCTTCTTCAGTTCAACGGCTGTAAACTGCAGCGGAAAGTTCTGGTTGTTCGTTTACTCCTGGACTTCAGTCTTGATCTAGAACGTGAGTGTTGTGCGTACATCCATTTTACAGATGTGATATGTGAATGCAGACTGCTGGTTCCTTGCCTGTCAGGCAAATATTCTCTGATTTCTAGGGAAACACCTTTATTTGTCTTTTAGGAAATGCTTATAGGGTGGCCATGGGTGGCAATCTCCCCCCCCCCCCCCTCCCCCTAATGGGGAGAACACATCTAAAAGTAATAACAGTTTGTTGTTGCTTTCAGGGACGAGTGGGGCAGAAGATACACAGAGGTAGTGGCCATGGATGCGCTTGTCTTCAACAAGTACAACAATGGGTACAAGACTCAGTTTGAGAAGGATAAAATATTCCGAGAGCTGAACAAGGTATGGCTAGCATTTTCATCTCATTTACCAACCAGTTTGTTTTGTCAGTGTTTGATTGGCTGAGCGGTTAAGATTGTTTTGTCAGTGTTTGATTGGCTGAGCGGTTAAGATTGTTTTGTCAGTGTTTGATTGGCTGAGCGGTTAAGATTGTTTTGTCAGTGTTTTATTGGCTGAGTGGTTAAGATTGCTGGACTATAAATAATGAGACCGGTATTTGAACCCTTGGTGAAGTAACACATTTGTTCTTTTCTGTCGGGGTGTCCTTTGTGCTAAAGGACTCTTTTTAAAGCCAAGTTGACGTCAGAGTTTCCTGTAAGTCTCAGTGATTAAGGTCACGGGGTAACAGCATGAGTCACCCAATACATGTGCTTTAAAAAAAATTTTTATGGGTTCCGGGGCTCCATTGGGTGGGGGGGGGGGGGGGGGGGGCACTTCCCTAACAAGCATGTTGTCAAAGGTGACTAATTAGGGGTTTCCTGGAATCAGACAAATTGGGCTGTAAGGTGCAGATATCACAGCCTAGCTGTAAACCACAATGCAAACCACCTTTTTAAAAAAGAACACAGAAAAAAATAACATTAACACTATTAAGAAATTATCTCAGTGAACATCCGATCTAGTAATGTAAGTCCAGGGCTTTCTTCCTAGCATTCACGGTTGTAAACTCCAGTAGGAAGTTCTGGTTGTTTGTCCATGCCTGGACTTTGGTCTTGATCCAGAACTTGGGTTTTGTGTGCACATCCGTTTTAAAGATCTGGCTTATTTGTGGGCAGACTGTTGGTTCTTTGCCTCTCAGGCAGATCAGATGCGGTCTGTCAGGGAAGGGAACATCCCTTATTGGTCACCTTCTGACACACGCTTGGTAGGGAGGCATGGGTCTATTCTTGGTTCTCCCTAATGGAGCCCCGGAACCCATACGGGGAAGGATCTGTTTGAAACTCCACCGCTGCGGCGACAATCCCGTGTTAAGTTTAAAAAAAGTAAAGGACCCTTTTTTACGGCTTTCAGGCACATAGGGCTAGAACTGTATTTTATAGACCAAACGGTACTTGGTGGGTGATGTGGTCAGCATCACGCTGGCTGCCTTTACTTCCCAGGACTGCACTGGTACCCACTCAAAGCTGGGTCGACCCGGTACCCACTCAAGGCTGGGTCGACCCGGTACCCACTCAAGGCTGGGTCGACCCGGTACCCACTCAAGGCTGGGTCGACCCGGTACCCACTCAAGGCTGGGTCAACCCGGTACCCACTCAAGGCTGGGTCGACCCGGTACCCACTCAAGGCTGGGTCGACCCGGTACCCACTCAAGGCTGGGTCGACCTGGGAGCCAAGGTCATTTTTAAAAAAAGGTCTGGCCCTGTCAGGAACCGAACCCACGACCTTCTGATCCGCAGGCGTGTGTGTAGTCTCTAGACCATGGCAGCTGCCAACAATCCTTGGATCTTCTAAATCACTATAATATTTAGGAGCTGAACAATGCAGTCTGAAATTGAATCTTTGACCTTGAGAAGGCTAACCTTGAAAACTAAGCCCGTAGAGGTTGGATATATGTGCCCAAAAAGAACAAATGTCGCAGCTATGCTGTGAACAGATGTAATGCATTTTCATCACTCGGGCGAATGATGAAGGTTAAAAAAAAAAAAAGATCCCGTGACCTTCAGAATGTGAAGCAAAAAAGTCTACCCAAAATGAAACTGATACTAGGGAATGTCCTGGAAAGTAAAGGCAGCCAGCATGCTGTTGGCCACATCTCCTGTCACTGTCCATCGCTCTTTAGACTATGAGTCTTGCATCAAGAGCATAATTTGCAGAGTGCTGCATTTAGGCAGAAGCTACAACTTTAGGCCTGACAGTCAGCAGGAGCCAAAATAAAATGTCTTTTGATTTTGTTTTTTTTAAGCAATTTTCTTTTAATAGAGCCTTTACAAGATGGTATAATATAATGTTTATAATTAAGCAGAAACTTTATTATTATTATTATTATTATTTTTAAAATTAAAATGACAATATCTTTTTTATCATCCATATACCTTTAAGTGAAGCCGGAACAATTAATAAACAAACGGAACAATATCTTTTTTATCATCCATATACCTTTAAGTGAAGCCCGGACAATTAATAAACAAACCGAACAATATCTTGAGGCCGCGGAGATGTGGTTTTACAGAACAATCCTTAGAATTCCTTGGAGACCGTCATCATTTTTCGGTCATGTTATGAGAAGAGGGAAAATTTAACATGTTGTGACCACTAGAAAAATCTGTGGAAAGAGAGACAGAGGAAGGCAGCGGGAGAAGATTCTTGATAGTCTTTTGTCATGGCGTGGAGGGGTGTCAGCACATGATCTGATACACGCAGTTGCATATCGTAGATTTTGCATTACACAGCATTTTACGAATAAGTTATTTAGAACACAAAACTAATAAATGTGTTAGAGAGAAAATATACACATTTGCGGAACATCAGGAGCCTCTTTTGGCAGTGGAGAAACATCGCAAACTAGCTTGGTTTGGGCACGTGGTGAGACATGATTCGTTGCACAGACTGTACTTCAAGGAACACTGAGGGAGTAGTCAAAGAAGAGGAGGACAAGAAGAACCTGGAATGACAACATCAAGAAATGGACAAGACTAAGTTATCATAGACTTATTCATCAAGTGCAAGACAGAGAAAGTTGGGGGGTTTTATGTGCTAGTGCTTCCTTTAATACACCTCCACGACCCTAATGGGTCAAGGGTTATGTTATTTTATATCATAGATTGTGGTGAGGTATGATCGCCCACGCCAGTCAGCAAGGCACTTGATGATGATACTTTTAAGGTGTATATATTTTACAGTTTTTCTGAGATTAGCTGGTGTAATTTAACACAATAAGGGCCTCAGGGCTTTATATAGCTTAGGGCCTCATCAGGTCTAAATCTGGCACTGCTGAGACACTAACCATGGGAAAAGGGTCCATTACTCTTACTTACTTACTTACAGGCGTACTGTGCCTTTAGGGGAAACCAGTTCACTGTTCATCTACCGGCCGTGTGTACCGGCAACTGGGGCTGTGGGGCTTTTGGTGGAGACAAACAGCTGAAAGGTAATATTCATGGCTTTTGTGGCTGTGTGTTTGTAACTAGTGGGTTATGTCTGGTGTGATTGTATAAGGTGGGTTATGCCCGATGTGATTGTATTTGTGTAGGTTGTCCAATGTGATTGTATATGTGTGGGTTATGTCTGGTGTGTTTGTATCTGGTGAATTATGTCTGGTGTGATTGTATCTGTGTGGGTTATGTCTGGTGTTATTGTATCTGTGTGGGTTATGTCTGGTGTGTTTGTATCTGTGGGGATTACGTCTGGTGTGATTGTATATGTGTGGGTTATGTCCAGTGTGTTTGTATCTGTGTGGGTTATGTCTGGTGTGTTTGTATCTGTGTGGATTATGTCTGGTGTGATTGTATATGTGTGTGTTATGTCAGGTGTGTTTGTATATGTGTGGGTTTTGTCTGGTGTGTTTGTATATGTGTGGGTTATGTCTGGTGTGATTGTATCTGTGTGGGTTATGTCTGGTGTGTTTGTATCTGTGTGGATTATGCCTGGTGTGATTGTATCTGTGTGGGTTATGTCAGGTGTGATTGTATCTGTGTGGGTTATGTCTGGTGTGATTGTATCTGTGTGGGTTATGTCCGGTGTGATTGTATCTGTGTGGGTTATGTCTATTGTGATTGTATCTGTGTGGGTAATGTCTGGTGTGATTGTATCTGTGTGGGTTATGTCTGGTGTGATTGTATCTGTGTGGGTTATGTCTATTGTGATTGTATCTGTGTGGGTTATGTCTGTTGTGATTGTATCTGTGTGGGTTATGTCTATTGTGATTGTATCTGTGAGGGATATGTCTGGTGTGTTTGTATCTGTGTGGGTTATGTCTGGTGTCATTGTATCTGGTGAGTTATGTCTGGTGTGATTGTATCTGTGTGGGTTATGTCTGGTGTGATTGTATCTGTGGGTTATGTCTATTGTGATTGTATCTGTGTGGGTTATGTGTATTGTGATTGTGTCTGTGTGGGTTATGTCTTTTGTGATTGTATCTGTGTGGGTTATGTCTGGTGTGATTGTATCTGTGTGGGTTATGTCTGGTGTGTTTGTATCTGTGTGGGTTATGTCTGGTCTGTTTGTATCTGTGTGGGTTATGTCTGGTGTGATTGTATCTGTGTGGGTTATGTCTGGTGTGATTGTATCTGTGTGGGTTATGTCCGGTGTGTTTGTATCTGTGTGGGTTATGTCTTTTGTGATTGTATCTGTGTAGGTTATGTCTGGTGTGATTGTATCTGTGTGGGTTTTGTCTGGTGTGATTGTATCTGTGTAGGTTATGTCTGGTGTGTTTGTATCTGTGTAGGTTATGTCTGGTGTGATTGTATCTGTGTGGGTTATGTCTGGTGTGATTGTATCTGTGTGGGTTATGTCTGGTCTGTTAGTATCTGTTTGGGTTATGTCTGGTGTGTTTGTATCTGTGTGGGTTATGTCTGGTGTGTTTGTATCTGTGTGGGTTATGTCTGGTCTGTTAGTATCTGTTTGGGTTATGTCTGGTGTGATTGTATTTGTGTTATGTCTGGTGTGTTTGTATCTGTGTGGGTTATGTCTGGTGTGTTTGTATCTGTGTGGGTTGGTGTGTGTTGTATCTGTGTGGGTTATGTCTGGTGTGATGGTCTGTTAGTATCTGTATTGTGTGGGTTATGTCTGGTGTGTATTGTATGTCTTTGATTGTATCTGTGTGTGGTTTATGTGTGTTTTGTTGTGTGTTTGGGTTATGTCTGGTGTGTTTGTATCTGTGTGGGTTATGTCTGGTGTGATTGTATCTGTGTGGGTTATGTATGGTGTGTTTTTATCTGTGTGGGTTATGTGTGTTTGTATTTGTTTTTTGTGTTTTTATGTCTGGTCTGTTAGTATCTGTTTGGGTTATGTCTGGTGTGTTTGTATCTGTGTGGGTTATTATCTGATTGTGTGTTTGTATGTGATTGTATCTGTGGGTTATGTCTGGTGTGTTTGTATCTGTGTGGGTTATGTCTGGTGTGTTTGTATCTGTGTGGGTTATGTCTGGTGTGTTTGTATCTGTTTGGGTTATGTCTGGTGTGTTTGTATCTGTGTGGGTTATGTCTGGTGTGATTGTATCTGTGACTTAAAAATGTAGAAGTTGTGAACACTGTAATTTTTGCGAATTAGAAGAAAAAAAATTACACTATGGCTTCCTAACAATCATGTTCTGAAAGGCGATCAATGAGAGGTCCGCTGAAATCTTGCCTCTAGGGGCCAACAAGCACTGGCTGTAAATCGCAACACAGTGTCAGCCAGTCTTTTATAGATAAAGGAACAAAACAAGGGTCACAAATCGGGCACACAGGCCCGTCTTACAGTTTGTCTTTCCCAGCACTTATCTTTTATACTGCAGTGGTATTTTATCTTTAACCCTTTCAGAACCAGGCAACTCGCCATGAGTTGTTAATGATGTGATATACTTTAGCAAATTTCTTATAAGTGATTCTTCTGTTAAATTTTTACCTTCTACTGCAGTGGCTTCTTGTGCATACAGTTCCATATTTGTAGTGTTTTAGCTCACTGGGACTCAGGCAGTGTTGCTATAAAGTAGATAAGCTCTGAGGTAAAAGTTTCACAACAACAACTTTACGGTACTGAAAGAATTAAAGCATGTTCATTTGGCAGTATACATACTGTGAGTATCAAGCAAATGGGACAAAAACATGGACGGTGAATGCATTTATTCAAATATACATGGATATCAAGCATGCACACATGTATACTAACATACATACACACTGAAACACACATACAGAAATACATATATGCAATCGCACAGACATATAAATCTCACACACATATAAATCACACACATATATCAATCACACACACATATAAATCACACACACATATAAATCACACACACATATAAATCACACACATATAAATCACACACTCATATAAATCACACACAGACAGTTAGTTCTATGTCCTTTAGAGGACTGTGGAGAACCAACCCCTTCATTTTTTGTCTGATGTTGTTTTCTTTTGGCTGTTTATTTTTCAAGGCAAATATTACATTGAGTAGTTTGCCATTGCCTGTAAACGGTCAGCTCTCATGTCTTGAGTGTCTATTAAAAAAAGTGTATACAATTTGTATAAATTGTATTTGAACTGTTTGTTTTCACGGAATCAAGTCTTGTCTTGTCTTGTCTGTCTCCTCTAGCACTGCTCCAATGGATGGCGGCCAGTGCAGTCGATCGAGAGGTTTGCTACTTTACATTTGGGGACACCAAGCTGTGTGATCAGTTAGGGCAGCTGTATCATCTGTTCAAGGAAAACGACATACAAGTTTGTGAGTAGCCACTGTTGTATTCGTAAACATCTTCAAACCTATGTTTTATTTTATTTTAAAACCTTGTGACATTGTCTTCTTCTTTTTTCTTCTTCTTTGTTCACCAGCTGTGAGCTTCAGTGGAAAGTTCTGATTGTTCTCATTTAAAGTGTGGCTTTATGCCAGGGCCTGAGTTTTGCAAATACTTCTGTTTTACTGGCTTATTTGTGTGTAGTTGTTTGTTCCTTGCCACTCAGGTAGAGGCACTCTCATTTAGAAGCCCCCAATTGGTCGATTCCTACGACATTCTTGAGAGTCACGGTGGCATTGCGTGTAGATGCTCGCGTGCGGATCGGAAGGTCATAGGTCGCACCCTCGCAGAGCCTGACTTTTTTCAGAAATGACCTTGACTCCCAGGTCAACCCAGCCTTGAGTAGGTCCCGGGTGCAGTCGCGGGAAGTAAAGGTCGCTGGCGTTAATCTGACCACACACCCATCTTGTGCCGATTAGTCTATAAAAATAGAGGTCTAGCCCTCTATGCCCTATACGCCTAAAGGCGTGGAAAAGAGACATTTACTTTTTACTTACTGTGACATTCTTGTTGGGGAGGCAGTGGGTCTATTCTTGTTTTCCTCACAGTGAGGACCCGGAACCCAAACACAGTGAGGACCCGGAACCCAAACACAGTGAGGACCCGGAACCCAAACACAGTGAGGACCCGGAACCCAAACACAGTGAGGACCCGGAACCCAAACACAGTGAGGACCCGGAACCCAAACACAGCTTGTGATATCCAGTTGCGGAGCTTGTCTTGAGAAAACACTGGAATACAGGGTCTCCTCGACTGAGTTCCATTCCGACTACAAGGTCGTTAGTTAGACTGGTCAAAAGTCGAATATAAAGTTTGTAAAACAATTTTCATTCAAACAGTTTACATAAACTGTACATAGAACACAAAATATAATCCATGTACGTATAATTAGACTCTGCAGCACTCTAGAGATCATTTCTGGGAACTTTTTTACACTACCAGAAGTTATATTTATATATTTACTATTTTAAATTAATATTTTTTTTTATAGGCGTAAGTGCTGATGGCTATAACTCACATGGGTCTTAAGTCGAGAAGAAGGTGTATAGCCTTTATTCATTATTTTATCATCGGTATCTTAAGAGTTACGAATGCAGTTTCATAATTCCACAATCACTGGTTGATTAAGTTGTGATGGATTTGGCTGCAAACCGCTTTGTGTTGATTTCAATAAAAGTATAAGTTTTGACTGTCCAACAATGAGGACCCTCCAAGAAGCTAAGCTGCCTTTTGCAAAGCTCTTGGAGTTATTAGAACGCACAAGCCCCTGTGCCACATCATAGTGGAGGCACACCAGAGAATCGTTGATCTAAAACATACATACATACATACATACATACATACATACATACATACATACATACATACATACATACATACATACATACATACATACATACATACATACATACATACATACATACATACATACATACATACATACATACATACATACATACATACATACATACATACATACATACATACATACATACATACATACATCATACATACATACATACATACATACATACATACATACATATACATACATACATACCTTACATACATACATACATACATACATACATACATACATACATACATACATACATACATACATACATACATACATACATACATACATACATACATACATACATACATACATACATACATACATACATACATACATACATACATACATACATACATACATACATACATACATACATACATACATACATACATACGAACGCACAGACAGACATATTTATAAATATTTATGTATAAATAAATACCCGGCTCGCTAGCGTAGTTGATTAAACCTGACTTTGCGGCGACCAGGTGACAAACTCCTTGTGGTCCAGGTTCACAACTCACGGTTTCTGGATATTAAAAAATATATATATATAAATATATATATAAAAAAATCTATATACACTTATATATATGTATATATATACACACACATATATATATATAATATACTGTCTTTAAGATGAAGGTTGGCTAAAGTGTAGCACTGCTGTTTTTGGGAATATTACATAGTTTCCCGTGTGCATTGTGGGGCCCCATTGTAGGGAAAACAAGAATAGAGCTACTGCCTACCCAAAAGCATGTTGTAAGAGTTGACCAGCTTTTTTTAAAGTTGGAGCACATCTGCCTGAGAGGCAAGGAACCAACAGTCTGCATGCATACAAATGAGTCAAATCTGTGAAATGGGTGTGCACGCAAGAGTTTCTGGAACAGGACTAGAGTCCAGAAGTGGACAAACAACCAGAACTTTCCACCGGAGTTTACATCCGGTGAACGTAAAGAAGAAGAAGAAGAATATGACCTGGCGAGGCCCCAATTCTTGTACCATTGTCTAAAAACCATGAGGACTGGTTTTTTTTAAACCACCCACTGCGGAGAAACAAACTCTAGTACTTGAGGATATTGAAACTGTTGACTTCATTTGCAAACATCTAAACCACAGAGCTGCACTAGTGTTTGTTTACAAACCTTCTGTTAACCTACTGACTACAATGATCACACGTTATGTGATCGAAAAGTTACGCCTAGCAACCATGATCACACCCCCTGTGTTCTTAACTTTGGGCCCTTGTAGCTAGGTTAAAATTGTGACTTTTGTGAGAAATTGAGCTGAAGATGTTAGTCCACTCATTTCTCTGAATTTCTTTAAGGGAGACAATTCGGTAATGCTTAAAGTTAATTTTCCACAAATTTTTTGGTGAGCTCCCATGTTGATGACAGGTCAAGATATTTTGAAATTAGTGGCTAATCGTTAGAAACATGTGGAACAGTTTCTATATCTTAATACATCTTTAGTATATCTTCATCTTTTTGTATAATTTATCTATATTTTAGCTTTTTTTTTTAAAATTATTATTCCATCTGTTGGTCTCATTTTGTTAACCCTTTCGCTGCTATGGACGTCTTTTCCCGATTTCCCGTACGCTGCTACGCCCGTCTTTGGACGTTATTTTTTTTCTTGACCCCCAGTGCTATGGACGTCCTAAGCCGTTTTTGGACTTTTCCTACAGATTTCTGTTACCTCGTATTTTATTGGCTGAAGGGCAATATACATTAGCTATATTTAGATTAAACTGACCCATTTACATATGATTAAAAGCACTGGCACGTACTTTTAGGTATGTTTAAGGTGTGTTTACTGCATTCTGCGTTATCCCGTTGCTTTGTTTACTGTGACAGCGTGGTCGGTGATCTGTGTATTTTGTGCCCTGATATATATTTGTGCTTTTGTATTATTCTACACTTAGTACAAAATGGCAAGAAAACTTGTTAAAGTTGATGAAGAATTTATGGAGTTTCTGTCAAGAAGTGATAGCGAAGATGACTTTGAAATGTGTACTTCTGACAGTGAACAAAAAGATTTGACTAGGCCATCAATATCGACTGCTGAAACCGTCGTGTCCAAAAAAAGCTGTTTGCCTGTCCGACGTCCTCATTGTCGGAATCAGAGAGCAGCGACAATGAAGCACCATCAAAACGGCAATAAATTGATCAGTTGTCTTTATGAACCGTTGATTTGAAACCAGTAGTGCATAATTTTGATGACTCCAGCTCTAACTGTATTTCTGCTACTGAAAATTCAAACAGTTCAGTCACTAAAAATTCTCGTCTTTCCCGATGGACAGACACAGATTCGGACGACCTTTTTTTTTTATTTTTTTTTGCTGTCTGTCTGCTAATGCTTAGAACAAAGAAACTCAAAATAGAGTACTTGAGCAAAGACTGTTTGCTAAAAACTCCCGTGAAATAATGTCGACAGACATATTTTTACTATTATTGAGAATCTCAAACATTTCTCAGACAACAGTGCTCATGCAGGCGGCGATAGACTACAAGCTTAGGCACGTTATTGATAGTCTGCGTACATCAGTCATTATTATCATTCACACAGCAAAATACGTCAAGTGGTAGTATAGTGTAGTTGGTATCACGTTCGCCTTAGAATCAGAGGGTCGTGTGTTCAACCCCCGAAGTCGTGTTTTTATATTTTTTTTAATTATTGTAAATTTTCCTTTCAGTTCCTGCTACTTTTTATCAACGGACGACTCAAGTATTATTATTAATTTTTTTTATTATTTTGGTATTTAATAACATGGTGACTACAAATAACTATGATTAAAGTGGCAGCCGTGGTAGGTTCGTCAATCAAATTTTGGGATACGGACAGGGAACAGTTCTTCCCATTAACCCCCCCCCCCCCCCCCCCCCCCCCCCCCCCCGGAAGGATGATAGCTCCGTTAGTCAAGTTTGTGGGCCACCATCGTGCCTCTGACTTGTCACCACTCGGACCAAACACACAGCTCCCCAGGGTAAATTTTTTTGGGTGTACAAAATATAGCCCTCACCACCGACGCATCTCTTGCGTTTGGAGGATAGAAAAGTATTGCGCACAGCAGAGACTTTTTTTTTCACATTGCTTAGCACAGGGAGGACAACTATTTCCGGGAACGTAGCAGCGAAAGGGTTAATTGTAAAATTTTGTGTCAGTTTGAACCCCTTTTGTGTTTCTATTTTAACCTTTTTACAAATTGTCTTTTTTATGTTTTTGTTATTTCTCCTGTTACAACGTTTCCTGTCTCGTTGTGTATTTTATAGGAGCATAATGATTAATTTTTTTCAGCACATGTCCTGGGGTTCATCAAAAGATTTAATGATGACTTGAAGAACCCTGATGGAGAACACAGGACATTGTTCCAGCACATTGCTAAAATGATTGGTGCGAAGCTGGAGGAGCCAAACATAACTGAAGAAACTGGCGGCCAGGATGTCAGTCTTGATGATTCCATGGAGATGATTCAGGATGATGAGTAATTCTTGTGAGCCTGGCTCTTGCAGACTATGTTCAGATGAGATTTTCTTTGGTAACTGCTTAATTTTTTGTGCACTTGTGTTTCTGCATTGTCATGCTGTGAAACCTGCAGGTTTGGCGTGATTTCAGTTCTGTACGTGTTTTGGTCTTCGTATTGTTGACTAGACTATTATTCTTCTTCATCTTGCTTTAGAGCAGTGGTCTCCAATCTTTTTCACCCCCCTCAACCCCCCCCCCCCCATCCCCCCACCCCTTCCGTTTGAGTATTTGCCAAGACACCCACCTCTAATAACATAACAAAATGTGTTTGAAAAGAAGAGGACAAAAACAAAATCTGATGTGCAGTTAAGAGTAAATTGGAGAAGAACATGCACATAATTCAGAGAGTCAAGTAACAAAAGAAACAATTGCCAACAACTGGTAATTTTGTGTACAAATAGCAATGTGGTGGTTAAAGCTGTTATGTCTGGATAATGTCTACTGTTTTTTGTGTCTGATGTTGGACAAGGCACAACAGAGATCACTCTCCACTTCAAGCTGGCAGCACTGTTTTGTTTTCATGGCTGTTAAAGCTGAAATCCCGGATTATGACAAGAACAAATGCACTCAATTTCAACATTGTTTCACGCCCCCTTTGAAACTTACCCATGTTCCCTAGGTTGGTGACCTATGCTTTAGAGCGAGCACATCATGTATAATTATGCACTTCTCTGGTCAGTATGTCTGACCTCGCCTGCTTTTGTGTAAGATTTTTATCTGTTAGACCCACAGTTCCCAGTGTTTAGTTGTCATAGCCAAGTCTCAAGGTTAAGACCAGTGGACCCCTCTTATTTGAGAGGGTTAGTCCTGGACCCCACAGTTTTTCCTGGTCATATTGTCTTTGTGCCAGTCCTGACATATGAGTGTGAATCATAGGCAGTGATAACAACTTACAGAAGCCAGCTTCTGGCCTCAAAAATGAGGTATCTGAGAAAGGTAGTTCAAGTGACAAGCAGGGACCAAGTTTGCAGTCAAACAGTACATCATGACCTTGAAACCCAGGCCCTACAAAAACTTGAGTAGATCAGTCACAGTTACAATGGTTTAAACCTCTTTGCAGAATGAGAGAGAATTGTCACCATGGCAGGCATGCAAGGCCATGAACCAGGGAACCGGACCACCAAGATGACCCAGGGTTTGCTGGTAAGACAAGTAAGACAACCTCGTACAGTCCTTGACTGACACAGGACTTGAATGGAACATAACTAAAAAGAAAACTGCTGATAGAGAAGTCTGACACAATCTCTGGCAAATCTCTACACTCCAAGGTAGAATAAGAGTGACTAAGTAAGTAAGTAATATTGGTGTCACTACATGGACAGAGAACACCAACAAGATAGATAAATGCAGTCTGGGGATATCTGCAGCAATAAACCTTAAATGCTGAAGAAGAAGAAGAAGATATTGGAGAACTTATTATAAATTTTAAATATTAGAAGTGCAAAAAGGACTGCATTCTAAAGATGAAGTATTTTTTTGTTTAATGAAATCACAGGCCCTTTAAATTGTTCCCAAATGGGAAAGTCTGCTCTAAACAGATTCAATCCATGGTAAAGGAATCTCCCTTTCCCTGTGTTGGTTTTCTTTCTTAATTGTTTTTGCCAGGGCAGCAGCCTTGTAGCCTACTCTGTAATTTCCAACTGCTGTGGGATTTTTCCGCCTGCACAGCTTGCACATGGGTTTTCCTTTTCTTTTTAATATTTAAAAAATAATGTAATCTTTATCTGAAAAGGCTAGGTATCTAACTAACTTCACTACCCAAGATATGAACAGAACATGTTTTATCATTAGAAATAAATGGTTCTCATAAAAATCCATCTCTATGGTGAGATTTAACTGTATAGTTTCTAAGCCTGATGTAGACTGCATCATCTCAGCCACACCTCCGCAGATCCTTGGGTTGTTTCATCTGCAAGTTATATTTGTATGTGTTTGTATGGTTTTACAGTGTATGTTAATCAATGTAGAATAAACTATGATTGTATATGAAGAATACTTTATTCTGTATGTTGTTTGATTTATCTTCATGCCTTGATTTGTATTTTTAGTTCTTTATTTGGGTACTGTTAGATTTCTTCCTCTGCATCTGAATTCACCCTTAAAAGGGTAATTAGCACGCTGTGTTGTGGTTTATAACAAGGCTGTTGTATAAGGCTGGTGCTTGCACAGAATAGAGGGAATTAAATGATATGATAGAATCACTAATGTAGAGCTTTCGGAGAGAACAACAAGTTCCAGTGGATCAAGAGGGGAAGAAAAGTTGCTGGCGGTGGATAGGACAGATGTTGAGAAAACCCGAGAACAAACTTTGCACTGGAACCCACAGGGGCATGGACATAAAGGAAGACCCAAAAAACACATGGAGAAGGGAGATAGAGAATGAAGTGAAATAGATGGGGAGGACATGGGGAAAATTGCATGTAACAGTGAAGGATTAAACCACTTGACATGAGTTGGTTGAGGGCCTATGCTCCATTAGGGGTTAGAAAGGCGTAACAAGAAGAATGATAGACATGGCTATCAACACCACACTTCATGGGCTATAATGAGAAGAAGACATGAAAATGTAGTGATAGCTAGCAAATGTTATGGGAACAGAGCACAGGAAAGACAAATATAAATACATGGATGAATTGACCACAAGGCATAATTTTGTCAAGAACATTGAGCAGCTTCCAGCCTGGTGATCATATGAGATAATAAGCAACGACAGTCAGTGCTTGGCATAATGATGATGATAACTTGGTTTCCATTCTAGTAAACACACAGCACTCTTATCCCCGCCTTGATCATAATCCCTTGTGGTAAATGTAAACCTATGGTACTTGTCTCTTTTAGTCACAAGCATAGTTTACTCTTCTTATCCTCTGGAGATGAGCTTAAAAAATAGTGCATATTTATGTATGAAGTTTAACAGAGAAGTTATTGAACTAATAATTCAGATACAAAGGGTTAATATTACATAAAACAGTATATTATCTCTGGAATGACCAAGAAACTTATGGTACATTGTTTGGTTCTGAAAGAGTTATACCTGTGGCTACATCCATGATTTACACATGTATGTTATTTTGGTGAAGTCGGTATTGTTTTGGAGCTCATCTTTAGTTCCATACAGCTTTGAGTATTGTGTAGGTGGTTAGCGTGTTTTATATTCTGTCTCTGCTTCCCTCAAAAAGGTGGTTAGCATGTTTTATATTCTGTCTCTGCTTCCCTCAAAAAGGTGGTTAGCATGTTTTGTTGTGGTTTACAGCAGTGTTTCTTAAACTTTGTTTTAACACCCGCAGCCAACCAAAACTGGGGAAGCGGTTTTCCTGACCACCTGACAGATAACCAAAGTCAGAAGAGTAACTGATTTAACTGTTAGGCTACATAGCCGTTGGGTACACTAATATAACTTGTATGCGGTTTAGTGGGGGTTTTAGGATTTGTCCCTGTCTGACTCTCATAACTGAGATGTTAATCTTGCAAACTGCTATCCTAGGAGTGAAAAACTGCTGCCCTACTTCTTCTTCTTTGTTCACCGGCTGTAAACTCCAGCAGAAAGTCCTGGTTGTTCGTCCATTTGGACTTTGGTTTTGTTCCAAGCCCTGAGTTTTGCCTGCACATCCATTTTACTGACTTATTGTGTGCAGCTGGTCTTTCCTTGCCTCTCAGGCAGCGGCACTCCGACTTCAAAGGAAGTCCTCAGTTAGTCAACTCCTATGACATGCCTGCTGGGAAGGCAGTGGTTCTATTCTTGTTTTCCCCATAACTGGATCCCAGAACCTACATGGAGGAGCTGCCCTACTAAATTACATGATTATGCAGACAGTTTTCGCAGCCCACCTGAACGTTTCCATGGCTCACCAGTTGAAGAACACTGGTTTACTTACAGTACAGCTGGACCTGATATCTGCACCTTTTTGTCCCAACAAATCTGGTTTCAGCACATGCTTAATTAGTCACCTTTTACAGCATGTTTGTTATGGGACAGTGGATCTGCTCCTTCCCACCCAAAAGTGGTGTCCCAGACCTGCATGGGGATCGTTAGTTATACAACCCCTAACCCTAACCCCCAACCCTAACACATCAGTACCCCTACGGCCCTTTCTTTGGCTGTAAAGTTTGCACCTGTCTGGATTTGATGTTTGTTTTCGACAATCCTATTTGCTAGACAGTCCAACAAGAATCACATGGTTGAGGGTCTGATATCTTTTGGGATTTGAATAACAGAAGAAAAAGATCGTTCAGAAACACAGACTACAGTTACTTAGGGCTCTTGTCAGTGTACATTTCTTGTTGTGTCTTACAGTGAATTTTCTTTTTAACCTATATCTCCATGTTTTTGTAATGACCTGTAAAATTAAAAGCAAATGACTGTTTGAATTTTGTATTTGATTAACTTCTGTCCTGTAGACAAATGTGTATGTCAGGAATGTGGACTCAGTGAACTATTTAATGCTATTGAGTTGAGTTGAGTTGAGTCAACAATTGACTTTACAGCAATGGGGGCATTCCCATGCATGCTCTGTCCTCATCTTCAGCAGCCAGTGCAGAGCTCCAGTACTGATGGTACCAGTCACAATTTGGTTAAATCTCCGTCTTGCCTTGCCTCTGAGTGAAGTCAGCCGGCCAGACACTCTGGTTACACCCAGTGCTATTGAGATGTTTGTATTATGTCAAGTAAGTGTAGAGGCAACTGCTCTGGTAGGCTTTGAAGTTTAGAAAATATACCTGCAGCAACAGATTTATTACAACTTTCACCCCAGTGACCTAGACACACAAAAAAACCAATGATCCGTATTTCAGGAATTCCACCCAAAAAAAGTCTAAAGAAATAATTTTACACCCATCACACAAAACTCCTAACAGTTCCATTTATGGAACAGAACAATATTAAATTCAATACCAGATTGTGGGGAGAAAAAAGGGGGGGGGGGGTGTAATCAGTAAACATGAAGGCAGCAGAGAATTAACTGGG